CCCCCTCATCTTCCAGTGGACTCGAATTTGCCTCAGATATTGGGACCACAGACATGGGAACAAGAGTTCATCCCCCACCCACTCACTAGATCTACTGTAGATCTAGTATATTATTACTTGGAATAAAATCAGTTTAGTATTCCCAGATTATTACAAAAACATTAGCGGTACTGACTGGGGTGATTTAAATCTTCCTGGGCCTGTGATTGGGACACCCTGTATTCAATGGATACAAGGGCATACAAGATTACATAGCATTATGTTACAGTTCTGCCATCTTTATACCAGCCCCAAAACCTAAATTACATTTACAGATGTTTGACATTTGACAAGTTCGTATTTAAAGTGCTGCCATCTTTCTTATTTAGTTCCCGGGATTTGTTCGTGGTGCAAGCGGCAATTTGTCACGATTGCAAAGGAAAGGTGAAAATAATTTTTATAATTTTGATCAGTTTACTATTGAACTAGTAGACTTTTGCTTCATTTATCATACTCAAAAGTCTTATAAGTATGTATATATAACTTTGGTGTATTCAGTTTACCAATTCTGCCTCCATATGAAACCGTTTCATCAGGAAATGTTATGCTAAAATATGTGGGTGATAATAGAGTCAGTACGTCTATTTCCAAACACCCCCATCAAAAAATGTAGTTAGCTTGGCTGTACTGCACATCTATGCTATGATTCTATATATATTATGTGTAATATCCACTGTAGAATGCATTTGCAGAAAAAATTACGAAAAATTGTAAAAAATATCTGGGTTATTCCATTTTTACTACAATCAGAGGTGGCGTTAACGCAATTTTTTACGTTTTTTACTCACATTTTTGCAACTCTGACGCAAATATTCATTGTCTACCGAGTCTTTCTGACGCACGTTTGTTTCACATGCAAAATCCCCGCTTGGTACTTGGTTAAATTGATCCCTATACGTGAAAATACGTGATTGATCAAATTTATAATTTTGCTAATTCCGGAAATCTAACATTTCGTTCAGCGCAATCGAGCCTCCTTCCTACCGATCATTTTCTCATTTCGGTATTTCATATACTTTTTAAAGCCCTGTGATTCAGATTCAATGATAAACTTGAAAACATTGATCGATCCCTCGATTTGTTTATCTCGTGCTTGCTAGGGGGCGTATCAAAAATGCAATAAAACAAACATAACATTGAACAATAATTTATTAATTTCATACTCCCTTCTAAGGATTTTAGTGATCGTATATTTATCTAAATTACCGCATAAAATCTTCCCTTGAATGTTCACACGCTAGATTTACGAACCTTTAGTTTCCTTAGCTTCGCAAGTTCGCAAAATTCCTTCGCTAAGTTAGCAAGTTTCCTTGAGCCGTCCCCTTCATCAGCATGCGCAGATGTAATGCGCAGTAGGTTTATCAATGGTGCTCACAGTGACCGATCTATCGTAAGTTTTCACCAAGTATTTTCAATTAACTCCCTCAAGTTAAGATCTTCGATTCACTAGATCTGAAGCTGATCCTATGAAGATAGATAATGGGCACATGAAAATCCAGTCGATCGCACATTAAGGGGGGTAATGATGATAAATTAGGTATGAAAACAAATCTACTTTCGGTTTCATTTGATCAGCTATAACTACAAGATTCTACCGTATTCAATTTAAATGATGCCCAGTATTGTGGTCGGACTTATATTGCCGTTTTAGACTTTGGAATGATTGCAAAAATGTTGAATTTCAACATGAAACGCTTTGACCCCAATTTGTGTAACTCCACACAGGGAGAAACTCCTCTCCCACTCCATTCACACCCATGACTCGCTGGACCAGATAATCAGATGATTAATAGTGACATTTTTCTTGCAATTGCCTAATTAATTAATTGTTAGTTGTTAATGTGCTATAAGAGTACAATAAAAGGTATGCACAAAATCAAAAAATAGATTTTGTATGTGGTTTCTACATTTTGTATGCATTTTTACTCAAGAAAAACACTTTTATAGCTTTGACTCAACTTTTTTTCTTGTGACTCACTTTTTTGAAACTACCTGAGTCATGATGACTCACAAAAATATATGCCTACCGCCACCGCTGTACAAGGTATTTTAGGGGGGTAATTCCGAACAGGAGTTTTTTTGGGGGGTAAATCCGAACACTTGCATGTGGGTAATTCCAAACACTTAACTTAAACTTAATTGTTTTAATTATTAGATTGATGGTATATCATTATATGATACCCTTAACTTAAGATACTGGATCCTGTCACCCCTGCATATCAAGAAACCCAAATTTAAATCATTTATTACTGACATCTATTTATTTAAACGCACAGAGTTTGTGGGGGTAATTCCAAACACTAGCATGGGGGTAATTCCGAACACCTAAATCATCATAATTGATTATTTTATTGTAAGATTGTTGGTATACATCATTATATTGTATCTTTCAGGCTATAAATATTATATAGAGGTAGTAGAGGTACTATTATTCAATTCAATGATCTGCTTGCCATTATTTGGAACCCGTTCGTGTTTACCCCCCTGTTTGGATTTGGACGTATTGACTCTAGACTGCCTAACATCATGTTATAATATGAAAATTGAAGTCTGGTCACGCAACTATCCTAGATTATCAAGACAACGGAAGCTAATTATGGGGGGGAGTGCGATACCATCGCACACCCTCCTGCCTACGCCTATGACATTGTAAGACGTAACAATTTACACTTCAGTGGACGTTTCGTCGAAAATTGGGATAACTTAAATTATGATTAATAATCAAAATCTGACACGTACATTGCATCATGTAAATTAACACACGTCACCTCTCTGCTAAATTAACGATAGCTATTTACAGATTTAAACCAACAATTCATGTACCAACATACATGTATGAACCATGGGCTTTCAACTAGAGTGAAAGCCCATGTATGAACTATTGAAAATAGAGTAAGATTGATTTGTCATGTTTTTCAAATTGTCTTACAATGTCATAGGCGTAGCCAGGAGGGGGTTCGATGGTGCGATCGCACCCCCCCCCCCCATTACCAATGAAAATATGACCATGATGATAGTGGAAGAAAAGAGCCTTAAAATGCTTTTTATTTGAAGCTTCTAGCTCAGTTTTGAAGGAAGTTACATACATTTTTGTAAATTCAAAACAAATCTTACACATTTTCTAATGATCTAATTATGTTATATATTCGTATTTTTAGTTTTTTGGGTACCCGGTATTTTCGACCGGGTACCGGGTACCAAGTTTGAACCCAGCATGGAGGATTTACTACCCGGTAGTGTTGTCGCGATTAATCGATACATCGCGATATTCATCGCCAAAGCTGATTCTGGCGATGCATCGATGTCTGAAACAAAACATCGATGTTTTTAAAAAAAAAATTTTTGCTAAAAATCACCCGTTCTTATCTTATTTTGACGCAAATCGCTTACCTTTCTCATGTCTTATTTCATTTTCCAATGTTTTCTGATATTCTTTCGCTTTAAAACTGTTTTAGCTAGTCGAAATGAACCATTAATCTAAAAAAATTACTTTACTTTCATTTCACCCTTACTAGAAGTTCCCGGATGTACCGGATGTTCGGTATTTTAGTGCATTATCGTTCGGTATTTCAGTGCACTTTTCTCGGACTTTTTCGCGATGTACATCGCGATGTGCATCGATGTTTACTACTGAAAATTGTCGATGCATCGATGTACGATTATGGCACATCGCGACAACACTACTACCCGGTACCCAGTTTTTTCTACAAACCCTATCCTCTTGATATTTTTCGAAATTTGGTTGATGATATTCAGACTATAATTGTCCTATGTAAATATTGGTGTTCAAACACATTTGTTTACATGTAAATTGTAATTCAAAATGGCAGTAAATTAATTTGCATATTTGTAAGTTCCTCTAGCTTTATCTCCACAAGACAATCTGCTATGTCACTTCTAATGGCATTTAATTAAACCTACTATACTACTTAATTGAATTTCATAATATCTATTTGATTGAAGTAATGCTTCCTCTAACTGATAATTTTGTGCAAAAAAATTCACTGCAATTTCCACACAGCAGAACATGAGGATAGCGGACTGAGTACTAACTCAGTCTGTTGGATACATACTACCCCTACCCCCATAAATGTGGGCCAGATTTGCGTTTTTTCTTATTCGAGACATTCTAGATTGCAAAACTTTCTTAATGTTTAAAGGGCACACATTTCTTTTGACTTTCATAATTTTTTCATATTTTGGTGGTTTTTGCTGCATTCCTCAATTGAGTCACATTCCTTAATTGAGTTACTTTTCAAATAGCACAAGCCCAGACTAATGTATAGATTACCATTCATCAAGGGATGGTGGTATTCATTTGTCCAAAAAGTTATTTGCGAACAGAAAAAAGATTTATTCCACCAAAACTATCTAACAAGTTGAAAAAAGGTCTTTTTTTCATCTTAATTCAAATTGATGAATTTTTTTTCTTCAAAATCATCTGCAAGTCATTAGAAGTTCAAATATGACTTTAGATTTGAGCTTTGACCTTCATTGACCTTCTCAAGGTCAAAAAAGGTCAAAAAGGTATTTTTTCAACTTGCTTCAAATTGACCAATTTATTTTTCAAAATCATCTACTAGTTCTCAAAAGTTCAAACCCAACTATAGAATTGACCTTCAATGACATTCTCAAGTTCAAAAATATATTTGACCTTAAATGACCTTTTCAGGGTAAAAAGGTCTTTTTTCAACTTGCTTCAAATTGACCAATTTTTTTTCAAAATCATCTACAAGTTCTTAGAAGTTCAAATCTGACTTAAGATTTCACCTTCAATGACATTCTCAGTGTCAAAAAGGGTATCTTTTTAACTTGCTTCAAATTGACCAATTTTTTTAAAAATCATCTACAAGTTCTCAGGAATTCAAATCTGACTTAAGATTGAACTAACAATATTAGGTGGTGACATTTTGTCATGTCAATGCCTTGTAAATATATGTCAAGATATGTTTCTATTTTAGGTTTGTTGGCACTGAACTTGTGATCCAGACATAAGAGCTAACAATTGATGCTTCCAAGTGCAACATACAGTAATAGTATATTGCCTCATATGACATCACAATATGTTCACAGGGCAAAGTCTGGTGATAAAGTGAGAAACTCATACATTAAAACAATGAATGAATAAACAATAGTTAATCTACATGTATATACTTGTAGTATGATACATGTGATATGTGTAGTAGCACATGCTGTATCATTTGAACTTTAGGTAGAACCATACTGAACAGGAAGTTACCTATCTCAAATAGTTTGTTATACACACACATTACATTGATAGAATAGTACAGTAAATTGAACATTTAAATGATGTCTCCAAATATCATCAAAGAAGCTTGCAAAGAACAAACTGATGATACCATGGAAGCGAATAGAGAAGCAACAAACTGTACCCAACTTCTCGGCAACAGTCGTCATAGTGATACAGAAGATGTTACTAGCAAGGACATTGCTACCATGAAAGATTCCCCAGATGTTGATGTGATCAGAGAACCACATACAAGTACAACATTCAAGTGGATCAAAACAATATGTCTATATTTGGGCTTTGTTGGTTTGGTAAGTTTTTTTATGATGTCTCTAATTGATGTCCTAACAAGGTGTACTGGAAATTAAATTTCTTGTGATTTGATTAGAAACAATAGGTTAATTTCTTGAACATTGAAGAAAACATCTGATGTAATGTTGCAATAGTGGTATAGTTTTTAAAACAGAATTGGAGCAGTGTAAAATCTTTTCCTTAATATACTGTATGTAAAAAACACTTTTCCACTTTCCAAATGGATAAATCACCATATTTGTCTATGTTTATCCTTGTGGATGAGAGTTGCAGTCATATTTTAGAGAATTTATTTCAAATACTCTGTACTTATTTTCAGGGCCTAATAGAGACTCTTATTGGACCAACACTATTGGATCTGAAGGAGCAAGTCGGAGTTGATACAGCACAAATCTCCATCCTCTTCACAACACATTCGGCTGGATACATGTTGGGCTCTATCATAGGAGGATATCTCATAGATAGGTTCAACCAGTCACTGATCATCGCATTCGCCCTATTTCTAGGAGGCGTATTTGCAGTTGTTTCTCCATGGTTTTATAACTTTGGATTGGTGGCCCTGTTCCTTGGATTCCTGGGTGTCACCAGTGGTATGTTAGACACATGTGAGTGCTACCACTTTCTGATATATTTGAATCTAATAAATATTTAATTCAGTCATATTGCATTGCAGTATTATATTTGGATTGTTTCAGATAAATTTCATTAAGTTACAAAGCATTGATATATATTTACTACTACTGTAATTCATAGTCCCTGAGTTTCACTGTATACAAAATTTAGTGGGGGTCCTAGGCTGAACCCTCAGATATCAATATATTCCTATACCAATTTGTCAAATTTCCCAGGGATTGTTGTATGTTTTCTTGTATCTCAAAAAGATTATTGTATGCTTATTTGGGGAACAGCAACTAAAGCTTTATTATCCTGAAAGTCCTGAAAGCACAACAATATTCTTATACTAATTTATCATATACAGAAGTACCAGCCAGAACAACGGATCACAGTGTAAATGTTGGCATTTTTGAATTCAGTTTCTCAGATGCCCAAAATATTTCCTTAAAGCATTAATTACTGACTGTTGTAATCAAAAAATGCTTTTCGTGCTATCTTCAAGTCACCCTGATTTTTGTAACATTCGAGACATGTACAGTGTACTGGATTAGAATAAATACATACTTTTTCTCTCCAGGTGGAAATGTGATACTAATGCTGATTTGGGGAATAAAAAGTGATCCATTCTTCCAATTTCTCCATTTTGCCTTCGGTGTTGGTGCAACAATAACTCCACTAATTGCCCAGCCATTTATATCCAAAGAAATCATAGGGACTGCACAAATGCATTCCAACTTGTCAGATATAGAATCAACATTAAACCCATATGGATCAGTCAATTCAACTGGCTTTGGAAATAGTACATCTGAAGTTTCACTCAATTCAGCATACTTTAATGGAAATGGTACCTCTGGAGATGTACATATAGTTGGGAGGACTGAATCTAAAGTGCAATATATCTATCTTATTGTTGGATTATATAACGCCACCTTTGGGATCTGTTTTTTCGTTATTACTGCATTTGGTAAGAGGACCATACGTGCATTGAAATATGAAAGTGATGAAGACCACGAGGAAACTTATGGAACAATGACATTGAAGTATAAAATTCAAATGCTTATATTTTTATTTATGATATATTTTCTATACTGTGGGATGGAGGTCAGCGCTGGTGGACTTGTGATGGCATTTTCTAAAGAGGGTCTTGGTTGGCCTAAAGAGCTGGGGCCTATGCTTACATCAACATTCTGGGGTGCCTTCATGGTATCTAGACTTGCAGGAGTATTTCTAACCAAGATATTATCTCTAACTCAAATGATTGCAGTTGATATGCTTATTGCCTTGATTTCATTTCTCGTCATGGCGATTTTTGTAAATAGTCATTATATTGTGCTATGGATTACTATGGCTACTGCTGGTATTGGCATGGGAAGTGTGTTTGCTTCTGTGATGTCATGGTACCAGCGTAATGTTATGCCGGTGACTGGGTATGTAGCTGGATTATCCCTGGTATCAGCCTCTATCAGTGGAACAACAGTCCCTCTCCTCACTGGGTTCATCATGAACAAGGTCAACTACATGGGTTTTCCATATATGCTTTTAGCATTACAATTTGGACTAACCATCATCGCAGGGTCAATTTATTTGTCAGTAAGGATGCATAAAAAGGCTTGCGCCAAGGAAAATGGTAAAAGGGACCCTGTTGAGGAGGTTGAAATGATGATGGCTGACAAAAAGCAGACTTGATTATTTATGGCTAAGGAAAGAAACGTCTTAAAATGTCAGTGTGGAAATAATATGAATTTGACGATGATATTATTGCGGTGTTAATACATGTACCATTGTGGTGTTGACATCAATTAGGTGGTGTTGATAGACATGATAGAGTGGTGGACATTACATCAGTATGGTGAATTGGTGATGATAAAGATATTGTTAAATTATAGTTATTTCAAGAGCATCAAAAGCTGCGATAGAAGTGAAACAGGAACATACTTTGTCTTATGATAAATCAGAGTCCCTCTTGATTATTAGATAAAGAGGATTATAGGCATAGCCAGGAGGGGGTGCAAGGGTGCCCCCCCCCCCCATAACCAATAAAAATAGATTATTAGATAGAAGAAAAGAGCTTTAAAATGCTTTTTATTTTAAGCTTCTAGCTCAATTTTGAAGAAAGTTGCATCCGTTTTTGTAAAATTCAAAACATATCTTCAATTTTTGGGGTTTCTTATGCCACGATTGCACCTCCCTGACTGAAAATCTGATTTTCTTGGCGATCACACCCCCCCTCACTGAAAGCTGGCTACGCCCCTGAGGATCTCTGATAAATCACAATGACTTTGTCACATTTTGAGGATTCATAATAAAAGCCTTGTTCCATTGATCATTGGAGTAAATTTTATTGCAAATCATTGTACACATTCAAGGAGGACTAAGTCCCAGAATGCAATCTCAATATTATTTTGTTTCGTTAGGTACACATATTAAGCCTGGGAAGTAAACAAATTGACCTTTTGCGATCAGAATTCAAGTGTTTTGTTTATTTTCATGTATTTCGTCTTATTGGTATGAAGTCATATAAAAATGATATTAGACATGATGGACAGATGAAATGGCGGACACATGGCAGTTTTGGAAACTATGGGTTTGATTTTTACCAGATATGTCGATTTGACTAGATCATGAGTAAATATCCTTATATGTGTGAAGTTTTGGTGAAATTCATACTAAACATCGATGCCTATAATATAAGCGCCCCCCATTTTTTCAAAATTATCTAAATCTTGTCAGTAAGACCTTAAACTTGACATGTACTTAATAGAATGAATATTGACCTAGTCAAATCAAATATTTTCTTGAAAAATAAATCAATCAAGTACGAAATACAGAAAATAATCCCTCAAAATCAAAAAGCCCAGCAGTGTGGCCTGATTGTGACGTCACTAAAAATTGGATCCATCCGGTGATCACAAATCATCGAATAAGCTTGATATTCAAGATATGTTATGCTGATTATGAATTTTTATTGTTGGAAAATATTCTGGGAGCTATGCGTCCTTGGTTTACATTGTAGTTATATTTTCCTCAAGTAATTTATTTAAAGTTATTTTAAGAAATTGTATATAATGTCGCAATAATTCTTACATTGTATTTAAGATTAAGGGTATTTCTTATTACTTTATCTTTAATACAAACCTCCAAGTTATTTTCACATAAACCTCTATAGCAGATTAAAAACAATTACCCAAATAAGTGTTCATATTGAGAGGTGTTCATACTAGAAAGCTGTTTGGATATGCAGGTTTTACTGTATGTCATTTGAAATATACTTGCAAATATAGGTTTTACTGTATGTCATTAGAAATATACTTGCAGATGCAAGTTTAACTGTATGTCATTAGAAATACACTTGCAGATGCAGGTTTAATTATATGTCATTAGAAATATACTTGCAGATGCAGGTTTCATTGTATGTCATTAGAAATATACTCGCTAATGCAGGTTTCATTGTATGTCATTTAAAATATACTTGCTAATGCAGGTTTTACCGTATGTCATTAGAAATATACTTGCTAATGCAGGTTTTACAGTATGTCAATAGAAATATACTTGCAGATGCAGGTTTTACTGTATGTCATTAGAAATATACTTGCAGATGCAGGTTTCATTGTATGTCATTTAAAATATACTTGCTAATGCAGGTTTTACCGTATGTCATTAGAAATATACTTGCTAATGCAGGTTTTACAGTATGTCAATAGAAATATACTTGCAGATGCAGGTTTTACTGTATGTCATTAGAAATATACTTGCAGATGCAGGTTTCATTGTATGTCATTTAAAATATACTTGCTAATGCAGGTTTTACCGTATGTCATTAGAAATATACTTGCAGATGCAGGTTTAACTGTATGCCATTAGAAATATACTTGCCAGTGACTCCTTACAGAAATGTGCCATAACAATAAGTTAATATATATGTAGCCTATGTGCATCATTTATATGCACAGTTTTATCACACTTTTGTATGATATGGAATGAATGTTGTAGTATGAATGAAGAGTACTGTGCAGACTTTCATACTGCACAAAAAAAGTTCAAAACTCATCCCATTTTGCCCTTCTTAATTGGATGGTAAAACAGTGAGAAGTCAGGGGGAAACCAAAATCACTCAAAATTGCTTAAATGTCATGTAATTTTAATACACTTTATGATTAATTCCAGCATAAGTATTCATTCCTCTCTATATGGATTTATTGTAAATACATTGAATTCACAAAAGCAATTTTCATGGAGTTGTCAAGTTGTACATTTGTTTCATTTTGCTTATACATGTTTCAGGCCCGTAGCCAGGGGGGTTCGCAGGGTTAAGGCGACCCCCCTGGCCAAAAATTCTTTCAAAATCATGCAGTTTTTCACCATTTTGAGCATTTCTCAAGTGATTTTAGCCATATTTGGGCCAAAATTGTCAGATGTGAACCCCCCCTGGAAATTTTTGAAAACTGAACCCCCCCCTTGGCAAATCCTTGCTACAGGCCTGTGTTTATGCTATAAATTGTATACTGTAAAACGGGTATTGTTAGCGAGGGGTAATTGTTAGCGATTGTTAGCGATCGCTATAGTTTCGCTAAAAATTCAATTCGCTAAAATAAACCGGGGTTAAAATAAACCAGGCGCTAAAATTTGCAAATTCCCGGGAAACAACAAGAATACTAGTATTTAAGGAGCGTTTCGTTCAGTGCTCGACCGAAAAATCAACGATTTTAAATGCTACCGTGATTTTGTGATTAGTCAGATGAGATTACAGTAGTTTGGACCAATACCATGTGCGTTAGAAGTCTTACATTTTGATAATTCCTCTGTCATGTCTGTTATTGATTCTTCTGCCATAAATGATACAATTTCTAATGCATTTCGCTAATTTGATTTTTTAAAGATTAATCTTCATTTCGCTAAAATTTCCCGCGCTAAAACCCCCTAAAATTGAAAAATCGCTAAAATTTCCCGGTGTCAAAATTACCCGTTTTACAGTATCTCTCTTGACCAGTCATACCTAGAATATTGGCATTCAACATCATTGTAAATTGAATTGGTCAACAAAATATAAAAATCAGGAAATTTTATTGTTCAAATCCTGTTAAGAACATCTTTGTTCACTTGGCTCCTGAACTCAGTGAAGATCGAGCATGTGAAGATGGTTTAGAACCGATGAAGTATGTATCTTATACAAATCATAAAAACAATCATAATGGTTTCCTTATGGTGTTGGTTCACATGATCACAACATAGATGGTATATAAATAAAATGCCCAAAAATTTAAATATAAATGTTGTTCTGTTGCACATACATTGTACTGTAACCTTGCAGAGGGAGTATCATTCAGGATAATCTATGCCCCTCCCCTTCCTGGTCTAAGATTGTGTGTACTGCAACTTTGTTCATCACACAACCAATAGATGTCAGTACAGTATATACGAAGCACATTGTCCCTGGCATACTTCAAGTTTAATAAAAAATGAACATATTTGAAAAATAAGGATATTCAAAAGAAAATAATACAAGAAAAAATCAAAAATTCTAATTATAGTTTGTACAATATTTGATTCATAGTATGTTTTTCTTCTATTTACATACATATAGATGGCAGTTGATTGACATGAGGTTCTGGCTCTCTTGATATGATATTCACACATAGCTAGGCTTACTTAGTTTACACAAAGCTATCTCCTGAGAGATCATCTATCTAAAGATGACTATGTGCAAATATAGTAAAGTTAGGCAAGGTGTGTCCGATTCCAGCCAATCCATACAGAGTATTCACATAATGAACAGTGTGTGAAATATCAATAACACATGCAAGGTCACTAGTTAAACAGTTGTCATAGTGATGACTTGGCAACTTGACCTTTAATTCTTTGAAAATGTGTTTAGTGTTTTCGTTCCTTTAAAGATTATTTTATAGAAAAAATGAGCAATGTGTGAAAAGAATTTAAATCCTTCAGTACAATGACAGGATATAGTTTACATAGAAACTCAATGTGAAATGATGGACATTTTTGGGATTCATGCCCTCAACCATAACTTTTGAATGGAGAATTTATTTATTCAATTTATTTTTTAAAAAAATAATGAAAAATAAAACCTTAATTTTCTGTAAAATAAAGAATAAAACCATATTTATCCATTGAAATTAATAAAACAATTTGTTTAATCGACATTATTTAAAAAAATAATAAATACAGCTTTTTATATAAAGAGTTAATGGGCCATCCCAGGCAGGCCCTGAACATTTCTTGTTTTAAAGTTCACCATGCCACTGGCAGATCTCCCCTTTGTTAATTAGTGCGCTTTTTGGGCATTACTGGGCCTTTTAAGTGTTATTTTTAATTTTAGGCCAAATTATCAATAAAATGGGACTGAGGCCTATAGTTTCAAAATTTGGGCCCACTTTTTGGTTTGAGGACATAGGGGTAATCTTGGACACGTGGCATTGTCTACCCTGCGTGCAGAGTCTAGTTAAACTACTAGGGTGAAGACGAAGCTCTCTTTTAAGAAGTGAAGTCAAACGAATGCAAAGGGTAGGCATTTATAACAGGGTCTTAGTTTTATAATGTGGGGGGGTCTTAGTTTTATAACAGGGTCTTAGTTTTATTACGTGGGGAGTCTTAGTTTTATAACAGGGTCTTAGTTTTATAACGTGGGGGGTCTTAGTTTTGTAGGTCTTAGGTCTTAGTTTTGTAGACACCCCATTGTCAGACGATCTTCAATAATTCTTTGTTTTACATGTTTTTTTTTATTGAAACTTCAATTCAGACACATCATATTATTGATGTGGTGATATACATATTGTAAAAAGTGCCCGATTTATCACCTGATGATACTAAGGGTTTGTCCGGGAATGCCCCATTGCCGAGAATGCCCCTTCTGTAGGGGTCCGGAATTTTTTAAAAACTGCATGCTCCCCCGTCTCTGAATCCAGAAAAATTAAAGTAGGAGATTTCAATTACTAATTTAATATTTACATATTGGATAGATCTAGTATCAGATTGTGAACCCTAGAATTATTTATTGTGATTGTGAACCCAATACTAATACCAATGGCCTAAGGAGTTCTTGCTAAGTCACGACAATAAATCGATTTTCATTGGACAAAGTTTGATATTTACTTGTAATTGTAAATTATTAACCAATCATATTCCTTGTAACATAAAGGTTTACCCCACCCATTTTGGTCTTCGCCATTTTGAGGAAAAGTTGAAATCCGTTGCATTTTCAGTAAGTATGAGGTCTTTTACGATACGAATACTGATTTGGTAGTGGTATTATCGAAAAAGAATAGTAAAGGAAAATACCACACATGTATTTAAAGTGTATGAACAGCAGAAAATCGGTCAAAACAACTATATATTATTCGGATTAATTTTTGTCAATTTTTAAAATTTTTCAGTTCACAGTTCAGGATGTTCAAGTTGAACATCCTTGCAAATATACAAAAGACTTTATTCAGATATTTCAATTTAAATATTCAGGTCGAATTCTATATAGTTGTAATTATGTCAATAGCTCAACAACTTTCAAGATGTGACACTTTCAAAGTTTTGAATTTCAGTGACTCAGGCCCAGCGTTATCGCATCCTACGACCCCTTTAGATTGTGGTCGTAGGCCCGATTCATTAGTAAGCCTGTGTTTCTACAATGTCGGAGAATGAACTATGCATTGCACACATAAATGACCTACCTCGATACATTCCTGAGTATTTTAGAATTTTTTTCATATAGTTGAATCGCAAATTGTATGGGTTAATCGGAGGAACGAAGATATTTTCGTTTTTGATAGCAATATTTGCGTGTAGGTTCAACCGTCAAATTCCTCCATTCAGTTCCCGGCATGCACCAGTCATAAGGGAAATCCCTGGGGAATTCCCCTTCCGACATTTTGAAAATTGCTGAGATATTTCCGATGTAAAAACTAAAATCTCTTCGTTCTGACGATAAACCCATACAATTGGCGATCTAACAACATAAAAATAATTTTTAAATACTCTGGAATGTATTGAGGTAGGTCATTTAATAGCGCAATGCGTAGTTCATTCTCCGACATTGTAGAAAGACAGGCTTACGAATGAAACAGGCCTACGACCACAATCTAAAGGGGTCGTAGGATGCGATAAGCCCAGCGTTTTGACAGTAATAGGCCTTATCAGGACAATATCTTTGCATTGGAATAAATCTTATATCGATTTGAGTCACATCATTGATCTGATGTCATCTAGCATCTCATATGGTCAGGGGCCGTGAATTTGTATAGTGAGGAACATAAAGAATTACTATAGCGACATGCTGTCGCACATGTAATAAATTCTTACCTCAGTGTATTCAGTGCTCTATTTTCTCCGTCCTAGTTAGTCCAAATATAGTGGAATTTGTGTCCATAATAACAAATGGGAACTTAAAATTTTAAAGTGGATATTCACATGTTATGCCGACTCTTCAAAGGTTGAGGTGATTTTGGAGCCCAATTACGCCGCAAGGAGGAATGGCTCCCAGAATGCAACATGACACATGCCAGCTTTCAAAATGCCGTTCCACCGTTTTGAAACCTGTCACGAGTAAATAAGCTTAACTGATGTTGCATTCTGGGAGTCAATCCTCCTTGGATCACAAACATGGCGATTCATGAAAACATTCATTCGATTTGGTAGGAATTTATCTATCATTTGCAGGTATGAAGCTTTGGATTCATTTTATTATGCTACTTGAAGTAAACGGGAATTATTTTTCTACCGCTTGGGAGAGTTTGAGACAAGAAACTTAGAATTTAGTATGACAACTTTTGATGGTTGAGGTTCATTAATGTCTCCGACTTCATGACCTGTCATCTGTTCCGGATAAATTTCATCATGGTTGTAATGCATTGTGGGATTAATCTTGGAATTTATCTGAACATTGGTGAATTCGTTCAATCTTTAAGATAAATTTTATCCAAATCTCAATCTACCTTCGGAGATGGATTGATTTTCGGATAAATTTTCATGTTAGACAATGTGGCAAGGCACTTCAACTTTACTCGACTCTAAATATTTACATCCGACTGGGGCTACTGTGAAGTGGATATGACCCACACTGGTCTTATATCGAAGTCAGAGGTTTTGAATCCATTTTGCCTACTACCATCAGTAAACTCTATTGAAAGCCCATGCTTAAAACTTTTGACAAGACTTATTCTTCAAATGAAAAAGAGATGAAACTACATGTAGGCCTATAGTTAAGTGAATCCTGTATAATGTCCTGTATTAATAGACTAGGTGCGAGTAGAAATAATCATGATTTACGTCTTTAAATATTCAAAATTCAGTCAATGTGATGTCATGTTTGAAATCTGCATGTAAAAGTACATCTAGAATATGGTTTCGAAAATTGTTTATCAACTCTGAAAATTTAATTTTTTTTGAAAATGTGACTTCTTGTTCGGGTTGATTCCCCATAGACCCCATGATACAAAATCACAAAAAGTGAAATATCTTTTCTTGTATTGGATAGATAACATTTTCTTTTACTGGGCATATTTCAATTTGCATAACTATTAGATACATAAGAGTTATATGAAAATTGAACCATTAAAACAGATGTGATTTAAGTTACCCCCCTATCACACCAAACTCGTTCTTACCCGTTCTTGCCAGTCCTACGAAAACGTCGTAAAACGGGCTCAATCTGGCTGTGGTCGGGAAATATGTCTGAAATAATTAGCTTCTTCGTTCTTAAACAGTCTTCAATACGTCCATCTCGTTCGCAGTTCGTTCAGGTCGCACCACGTCGGTGTGCAACGCCGTGGAATGCGTCCCTTAGTCTAGAAGGTCATCATGACCTGATAACAGAACGGTATGGTCGCAATCGAATTTTGAATCGATTCAAAATTCTAAAATCACATTCCCGTCTGAGAACGTTCATAAAGTTCGTAAATAGACCTTAGAAAGTTGTAGCTACGTTCATTCCGTTCGCATACAGTTTAGAACAAGTTTTGAAGAACGCAGTGGCAACTTGTTTGGTGTGATAGCTATAGTTTTGCTAACTCGTTCATAAGCAGTGTTAAATACGTTCTTAATCAGTTTAAACCCGTTTGCAATGAGTTCTACCTCCTTCTCAACACGTCCTCAGACAGTTCAACTCGTTGTTAAAACGTCCCTAGTAGGATTGAAGTACGACGGTTCCGTTCGTAGTACGTCCAGCTCGTCGTTAGTACGTTGTCACTGTTCTAATTGTAGAACGTGACGACCACGAGAACATTTTGAGCATTGTCTAAGTTCTAGAGTACCTACCCGTTCGAGTACGTTCAATGAAGTTTGTAAATAGATCCTAAACGGTTCTTAGTACGTCCAGTCCGTTCGTACACAGTCGAAGCCCGTTTTCGAGAACGTAGTAAGAACTAGTTTGGTGTGATAGTAGGGTTAAAGAGAACTTTCTCCTATACCCGCCATGCTATCTGACCCGAACGAGCCACCTGGTGGTGAATCTGGTAACTACATACTCGCATCTGCGTCATTGTAGTAGTAATGTTTTAATGACTTCATACTTTAATTCATACTTAAAATTGTATATTTTGCAGAGATACTTTTCATTATTATTATCATGATATTTATTTAATCATGTAAAGTTTAAAGATCAAGTACAAAACCTTCAATGGCATTTCTTAACAGATAATGATAATGACTTATGGAATGTTTGTATGATTACTCAGATTTTTCAGGCATTTAGAAGTATTTGAATTCCATTTTGATGAAATATATTGAATTTAAAATGTTAATCACTTTCCCTCACATTTTGGTGTTTCATTTGTTTCATCCAATTTGTTGTTCATTTTTATCTGTAGAGTGTAGATCATGTCGTTCTCCTTGTCACTGTACCTTCTCCTTTCATAATATCAAACTCCTTAAAAGGGAGAAATGGTAGGGGGCAATTTAAGCATGTCAAATCGATGGGAAGGGACATTAACTATATAAAACAAAGGGATGGGAGGGGCAACGACAACGTGATACAAGACAAATTAATAGGAGAGAGCATATCAAGCTTATAATCAAGACAAAGTGTTGGATGGGGAGGGAGACTAAGACTTATCTACTTTATATACAAGACAGTAAATTGTTAATAGAATACTTATAACCTGCAGGTATTTGTAGCACCTTATCAGTGGCACAAGTTTCCAATAATTTGTGTTCCTTTCATCTTCGGTGGAGATTATTGATTTGGTCTTTAGCTTAAGTATTCAGTTTCTCTTATATACCTGCAGAGGTACTAGATACAGTATAGATTTGGTACACTTAGATATTGTGCAGTTGCATTGATAATCAATAGTTTAGGTGTTAAATAATGCTTCACATTGGTCTATTTCTTCTTTTATACCACAAGAGGTGACATACTGTTGTAGTCTCTTTTTATGTCCCCACAACATAGTGTGGGGCCATATTGTCGGCCTAGGCGCGTCCGTCTGTCTGTCCGTCTGTCCGTCCGTACGTCTGGCAGTTTTCTCCAAAACCGCTACAGATATCACCTTCAAATTTCCAGGGATAACTTATGAGTGCATACAGATGTGGATGAAAAAAAATTAACTCGATACCTACTTCCTGTCGGCCATTTTGAAGTCAAATGCTAAAATCCTTGTCTGCAAACTTAAAGAAAAACGGCTTCACAGTTGCTTTTAAAACTTTAACATCTTGTTCAGCTCACTTCATTCTAGATCTGATTAGGTTTTGGACCTGTTAGCTCAGTCATGTCAGCCATTTTGAATGTTTTAAGAAAAGTTGGCGCGCGATAATACTTTGTATCATATTAAATGGTGTTTTTCAGTTTTCATACTTTAACTATTTAGTAGCTTTATAAATTATTTCAGGTGTACTTTGTTGTAAAAGCCTATGTTATTGTTAACAGTAGTTATATGTGATAATTTTGTAAGAAGAAATCAGCAAAAACTCATAATCACTTTTTTATTGTCGGCCATTTTGGATTTTTCCGTCCTAAAATCTTGTCTGTAAAGTCTTGTCTACGCGTTTTCAGGTGAACCGTTTGGTAGATCAATTTCAAATTTTCAGGGATGATTCTTAGTATGAAAATCTAGATCTGATTAGTTTTTGGGCATTCTGGGTAAATGTCAAGGCAGTCATTTTAGATTTTCCGTCCTAAAATCGTGTCTGTAAAGTCTTGTCTACGCATTTCCAGGTGAACCGCTTGATAGATCAATTTCAAATTTTCAGGGATGATTCTAAGTATGTAAATCTAGATCTGATTAGTTTTTGGGCATTCTGGGTAAATGTCAAGGCAGCCATTTTGGATTTTCCGTCCTAAAATCTTGTCTGTAAAGTCTTGTCTACGCATTTCCTGGTGAACCGTTTGGTAGATCAATTTCAAATTTTCAGGGATGATTCTAAGTATGTAAATCTAGATCTGATTAGTTTTTGGCCATTTTGGGTAAATGTCAAGGCAGCCATTTTGGATTTTCCGTCCTAAAATCTTGTCTGTAAAGTCTTGTCTACGCATTTCCAGGTGAACCGTTTGGTAGATCAATTTAAAATTTTCAGGGATGATTTTTAGTATGAAAATCTAGATCTGATTAGTTTTTTGGCATTCTGGATAAATGTCAAGGCAGCCATTTTGGATTTTCCGTTTTAAAATCTTGCCCGTAAAGTCTTGTCTACGCGGTTTTAGGTGAACTGTTTGGTAGATCAATTTCAAATTTTCAGGTATGATTCTTAGTATGAAAATCTAGATCTGATTAGTTTTTGGGCATTCTGGGTAAATGTCAAGGCAGCCATTTTGGATTTTGTGTCCTAAAATCTTGTTTGTAAAGTCTTGTCTACGCATTTCCAGGTGAATCGTTTGGTAGATCAATTTCATATTTTCAGGGATGATTCTTAGTATGAAAATCTGGAACAGATTAGTTTTTTGGCATTCTGGATAAATGTCAAGGCAGCCATTTTGGATTTTCTGTCCTCAAATATTGTCTGCAAAGTCTTGTTTACAGGTTTTCTGGTTAACTGTGTAACGGATCAATCTCAAAATTTCAGGGGTGGTTCTTAGTATGAAAATCTAGAACTGACTAATTTTTGGGCATTCTTGGTAAATTTTAAGGTGGCCATTTTGGATTTTCTGTCCTCAAATTGTGTCAGTAAAGTCTTGTCTACTCATTTTTAGGATAACCATTTGACGGGATCACCCATAGGTAGGGACATTTTGTACACATTTGTGTTCTTGTTTGGATGGTGTTTGGCGTATGGCTTTTGGCATTTGGCATCTGTCACAAATGGCAATTGGTGACATTTTGCATGTTAATGCCTTGTTTTGCATTGATGTACAACAATATTTTCCTTTTCCATAAGGCAAAACTTTTCATCATGGGGGTGGAAATGTGAAAGTTTTATAGTATTTTGAAACTAATTTTGATAGTATTACTATTCGGTAAAAATCAGTGAGGTAGAAACATGATTTGATTCAACTAATGATAGCAATTTGAGACAAATTTTAGTACTTTGAGGCAAATTTCAGCAATTGGGCAAAAAGTACTTTTTGTGAAATAAGTGATGAGGTGTGTTTCTAAAGGAGATTTGGCACAGCCTATCCAAACAGTAGAGAGGTTAAACAACTTAGATCTAAGGATGTCTATGTGGCATGCCACTTCTCTTTGCTAATGATAGATAGTAAATCAATGACTGATGGTGATCTGTCATAAAATAAGACATGAGTTTATGGTAATATTTTCAAGTTATGTTTGTTTAAAACATTAGAAAATGTGTTAAGTTCACTTGAGAACCTTCCAGTCAGTCATGTATACTTTTAGATCAGTGTCGATTTTTTTTCATGGGAAAAAAAATAAAAGAAATGAAAGAAAACTATCTATTTATGTACATTCTGCGTTGAACATGTTATTGTGTAGTTTAGGTTTACATATTTACAAGAAAGTGCACTGTGCAGTTACTACTGTATTGATTTTGTATATTGTGCCTTCATTATGGGCATACCATTTAGTCGAAGTAACAAATTTTACCCTTTGTACCCCAAATACCCAACATTTTCTAAGTAACATTTACCCAAAATACCTAATCAGATGGATAAGTCAACATACTTTTTGTGTCTAACTCTTCCCACATATATTTAAGTAATCAGGTTATGTCTGAAAATGGTTGAAATCCTCCTAGCTTCAAATAAACGTCCTCAGGAGAAAGTGAATAAATACCATTTTAAACCTTCCTTTGAAAATTAAGTTTAAAAGTAAATAAAACCTGAAAGGTATGTACTCAAGAAGTTGGTATATGTACATGATTTTATGACTTGACCAGTTCTTTCAAGGCCACATCATTGATTATCTGGTTCACGATTTATTAACTTGAGTTAACATTACCCAACCCTGAGATTTAGAATCTAGGAGTAATCACTCCCCTCTGAGTAAGACAAAAATTCATCTTTGTTCAGATCTAATAACCTAATAACATTCACTAATTTTCATTTTTTGAGATTTCGCGTCCTATTAATTTTCCCTGATTTGTGACTTCTCAAAATGTTTCCAGAAATACTAAAGCACTAAAAATTTAGTGGGAGTACAGTATTTATGAAGACATATTCATGCAAAACTAAATCAAAGAATTGTCTTTTATTCAAAGATCATAGATGAAGTTCCCTTTTAAGAAGTGAAGCTAAACTATTGAAAAATTGCAGAGGGGTTCACTTTTGACAATTTTGGTCCAAAATTAGCAAAAATCACTCAGAATGGTGAAAACTGCATAATTATGAAAGCATTTTTGGCCAGGGGGGGGGTCACCATCCCATCCCAACCCATTGAATCCCCCCTGTCTATGTACCTGTAGCCTTGATTCATATCCCTTTAAAAAGCAATCCCTGTCTGGCTATGTGAAAATGATACAAATTAAAAAAGGAAATGCCATGATAACTACATATATTGGGAAACCTATCTCAAATAGCATGGCTCCTTATAATGTGAAGTATGATGACTCTCACGTTGGAGGTGGCTCGTTTATTTAGTATATTGGGAAACCATATAATTATTCACTCTTCGTGTTGTAGGAACATTGTGGTTCAAGTAACCTGTTGATGAAAGTAAAAACACAGCAACCTCGTAAATCCTATTTAACTATTAACTTGCAAATGTGTTTTGTTCCCTTCCATACACACGCACACATACAAACTTACATGATACAGAAAGATGATCCACGTTCGGGGGGTGGGGGAGCTTGAGACATCTTTGAGAGCAGAAACCAAATAACCTTTTCAGCTATCAAAGCATTGATACCATAAATCCAGCATTATGTGTTGAAACCTTATAAAGAAGTTTCAAAAAGTTCATATATGGTATTCTATTGAAGTCTATAGAGCAACTCACAAGATTTCAAGTTAAACATACATGTATGGCAACACACTTGACTCATAAAAACATAGGTGTGGTATTTCACCATCTTGTCCAAAATCAAGTTACTGAAACTAAAATAACTATTCAAGCTATACTCAGTATTTGTGCTGTAGTTAGCTCATTTTTTGAGTGTTAATGCTGATATCATGGGTGTAGTTACTAGGTAGAGTGAGGAATGAGGAAGTTACTGCTACCAACATTTACAGAAGATTATGCATTCTGTCATTTTTAAACCTGAAACTGTGAAACTGAAGTAGTGGTCATATCAAATCATATCATATGGGATCAGATCATATCAGTAAAATAATATGTTGAAAGTAGAAGGAATTTGACATCACTGTGGCTTTGACTTCCTTTTTTGTTTGTGAAAAACATCCCATTTCACAATTGCTGGAATTACATCATGCATTTTAGAAAGGCGCCTAAGGTTTTAACCCAGTTTGAAAAATAGGTATAATCACTATTGCTGTTTTACAAAAGCGCTTTTCTAAAACTCTTAGAACCCTAGTCACTAAAAAACGCCTTAAATCGTTAGGCGCTTTTGGAGTGTAGTGTAATACAGATCGTTTTTTTTTTAAAAACGCCTTACCCGGGTTTTTGTCATTTGCCCCAAACGAAATAAGATGTATTTTGAATGCTACACGTTTGGGCCACCGCCAGCGATGGATGGGACCCAAAAATGCAATAGGTCATCAAATTATATCGCAAAAATTGAAAGTAAGTTCACATCACTGGCAAAAATCTCAGTTACGCTTTCTCTTAGATGCTAAAAGAATACAATTATTGTAGATGTACACATCTGCTGGATATTCTCCTTATCAACATAGTTAAAAGTGCACGAAAAGCGTTTTAGAAATGACATGTGTAATTTCAAAATAAAATTCCTAAGGCGCTTTAGAAATGTTGGTGTTATCAGGAAGGCGATGTTGTTAAGCATCTTTCACTAAAGTGCTTTTAGCGTTTTTTCGGGTGTAATTCCAGCAAATACCTCCGTAGATTAAGGTGTATGTAGTGAGAAGTGTTCACTTTCCAAGTATTCACATTTAGAATTTCGATAATATGGGAAATAATTCATGCTCTAATTTTAGTATCTGTTTCCAGTAAAGAAGCTTTTATACACAGAGAAGTCCAAATTCACAAAACAGTGTTTACCTACGCAGAGAAGTGTCCACATACAAACATTAGTTCTTCCATACACATATATTTCTACTGTAAATTCTAGTTCTTACATTAGTCTGTAAGGTTCAGAGAAGGAATACTTGTAATGTATGTCAAGATAACATGATAGACTATTACATAGTACTTAGATAACACAAGCATTTGCATGTTTTTAGAAATTAAACTCAGGTTTTCACCTAACTGAAGTATGCTGGCATTTAATCAATGGAGCTATTCATTTGATTGCATATTTTTGAAATTACATGTAATTGAATAATTTGAATTACTGTTAAAAGGTTATAAAAAGCAACATTCTCTTTACATATAGAAAGGTATAAGGAAGTAGATTTTTGTTGCTCGTTTCTTTAATATTTTTTTTCATATTTCATAAAAATCCTATAAAAGTAAGGCCGTACTTAAATCTGTTTTATTTGTGTTACAGGTAGAATTTTGGGAAGATGTCGGTTAGCGACAGTGCCGGCCTTGACCCGACAAGTGATTCCTTTTGGGAAGTACACCAATATAAACGGACCGTTAAACGTATAGACGATGCTAGTAAATTATGCAATGAATTAACACTAATGATCCAGGATAGAGCAGACATTGAAAAAGCATATGCCAAAAGTTTACGAAATTGGTCAAGAGTGTGGAATGAAAAAATAGAAAAAGGTATGTAATGTATGTTGTTCTGTAGAAGTTTGAGTTTCGGATCAAATTTTTTATTCATATCCACTCCCTCCTTCCAATCTATTCTTAAATGCAAGGTTGATTATCAGTTTTTGACCATGGTCAATTCCCAGGCCCACAGCTAGGGATGGTTCGGGGTTTAAGTTAAACCTCTCCCTATCCAAAAAATCTTTCAAAGTCATGCAATTTTTGGCTCACACAGTGAGCCTATGGGATCGACCAGGCGTCCGTCCGTCCATTGGTCTGTCCATCCGTCCGTCAACATTGGCCGCACAAATTAAAACTGCTATTCAGATTGAGTCATAACCACATTCATTTTATGCATATCCATAATGCCTATTTGACCTATCATCGCAATTTCCCAAGTTCGCCCAGTTTCTTTGTTGAAGAAGAACTTTCAAATAACTTGTAGTAGTTGATTTATGTGAAACTTATGACCTCTGAAAATTTCAAAGCTCTTGGAATTACATTTTTTTGTGTTTACTCTATAAAATTTGACAAAAAGTAGGACTTGGAAGTCATTTTCAAGAAACTTTCTCACGTATTAAGTCAATGGCAGGTTTTGTGATTGACAAGTTTCTCAATGTTTGCTTTATACTTGATCATTTCTTGCGATGAATCACATTATTACTAGATTTAAGCATTCCCTACATATTGCTCAATATATGTCAGCATCAAATTTCTACAGTTTTTGAGATATTTGACGTCAAAAAACAATAAAAATAAGTTATTTTTCAACTTGCTTCAATTTGACCAAATTTATTTTTGAAAATCATCTCCAAGTTGCCAGGAGTTCAAATCTGACATTTTTTAGGATTTGACCTTCAGTGACCTTCGAAAGGTCAAAAAGTTGATGTAAAGGATGTAACTTTTGGTCAGCTTAATCACAAAAGACCTTACTGAGCTCTGACTAAGTAAAATTTTCAAGGTCAAAGGTCATCAAACTAGGTCACACAACTGTGCTATCTAAGTTTCTCAAAGTTCGAGACTACAAATCCAAATCAATATTTTGGTTTGAAAGTCAGGATATACATTCCTCTGAAGGTTCCAAACTGTGTGAGCATAGGACTGTGGGTCCTTTCATTTTTATTTTTCACCATTATGAGCCATTTTCAAGTGAATTTGGGCCAAAAATGTCTAATTATTTGAACGACCCCCCCCCCCCAATTTTTTTTTAAAATACTGATTTTTTCTTCGCACAAGCTGATCATGGGCCTGTATTCCATTCTGCAAAATGTTGCGCCTACACTTGAGAGATTTAATCTTTTTATTCTAAGCCATCATACTTTTTAGGAAGAACCCAAAAAAGGTTCAAGTTATTGCAATTCCCAAAATTCAAGAGAATAATATAATATAAGAGAATTTATATGCTGCAAGTTATACAGTACATTTATTATGAAGGTTTAACTCAAGTCCACTCCACAAACTCAAAGGTCATGACTTATTGTCTGTATTACCTCATTTATAAGCTTCATATCATCTATTCCCCATACCATGGCACATATTTCTACCTAACCTTTAAGTTAGACAAACTGAATTACTATAATTTCCTGATAAAGTTGAGGACCAATAAAGACCATACTTTGGGAGTATAGTCTGGGTTTAAAGTGAAAACTTGAACTACATGTACATATTTTCAATAGATTATTGAACTTTATTTGAATGATATTCTGCATAAAAAGTAATTTCATTGAAGGTTTTTTAAATAAATCAATACTCTTTCCTTCGGGGTTAAAATGGAATTTTAAGCAAGTGTACATGTGCATGTATCTTAAAAAGTAGGAAGAAAGTCATATCATGCCCCCCCCCCCTACGTTTGAGAAATTCAAAAGAACTCCCATGTGGCCCACCCATATTGCACCATCAATATTTTGGCACATCATGGGTGAAAAAACATGAGTGGCAGAAAAAGCTTATCTTTTGTTCAGTGATTTATCAGTTTCTTATGTAGGTTTAGTTTATAGATCTTCACCACCTTTGTGGATTTTTGGATCGGAAATTTATACCATACGCTTAAAACCTTGTACCCTGCGCGCAGAGTCTAGTTATAAACTACACTCTGCCTAGTATAGACTATATTACAGTTTAGCAGCCCCGCCCCAAAGATTGGTGCCCGGTGCCCGGGTAATAAATAATTTCAAATCTACCACGCTGATCCTTTCTCAACCAATCAGCAAAGTTGAAGGAACACCATGAAATACATACTCATTAACTATACGGGGATATCAGAGGAAATGACCATATAGAAAGTCGTCCATATTTCAAAGATTTATTGCAATCTGAAAGATTGAAGACGAAGCTCTCTTTTAAGAAGTGAAGTCGAACAAATGCAAAGCGTAAAAAACTTGCTTTTGGAGAATTGTGAGATGTTATCTAGATCTCTGTCGATGGGTGTTCGGGTAATCGCAATAGCCTCATGTCCTCTATCCAATTGTCATGTGTTCCAGGCCCTGAATATGGCACAACCGAGGCAGGCTGGAAAGGTACATTAACAGAAGCCGACAGAGTGGCAGAGCTACACTTTGAAGTGAAAGAAAAGCTTGTGAATGATGTAATACCTCAAATAAAACAATGGCAGAAGGACCACTTCCACAAACAGATGATGGGCGGCTCAAAGGAGAGTAAGGAAATGGATGAAAATTTTAGAAAGGTAGGTTCTCCTATATCTACATATACATGTAGATCTATCATGATTCTAGTTTGACCCTTCCATCTCAACTTGTCTAGAAGGAAGGAACTTAGTGGATGATGTCTGGAACCCTGCATTCGTAGGATGAAATCTCCCCCTCCCCTGCCCTTATCAGAACGTTTTGCTATTATAGCTAAATAAATATCAGTGTGTCTTAAATGTATCTTATTTGTCTATGATTCATGAATTATAAATCTTGATGAAATATTAATTGTTTTTTTAACATCCCAGATATTTCAATATTTATCGGGAATTAATTTTGGTTGATTGAAAAAATGTTCAGGTATTTCAGCTTTTATTCCAAAAACCATGGGCTTAAACTACCTGCGTCTGTATATTTAATGTAATCTGTGTAATGTACTCCACCAATTTCAGGCACAAAAACCATGGGCCAAAAAACTGGAGAAAGTGCAAAAAGCACGTAAAGAGTACCACAACGCGTGCAAACAAGAGAAATCTGCAAATATTCAAGAAAATAACGCTAAAGGAGACTCGGCCATATCACCAGATCATGTAAGTATAACATACCTCAGTCCTGCTACTATTCATTTTGAGCTTGGCCAGGAGCTTTTTTTTAAATAGAATTTAGTAGGTGGATTAGATGAGTTTGATTGAATATATTATGTACAGTAAAAATGAAAATAGGGAGTTTTATGTCTGCACCGCTTTAGAGAAAGTGTTGGAAGTACCTCTTTTAGCTCAAATATAATTATGTCACCACCACAATTGGTGACATATTGTTATGGTCTCCAACTATTTTTGGACAATGTTCGGCAGTTGGTGTTTGGTATTCGATGTCTGTAACAATTGGCAGGTGGTGACATTTTGTATGTTTATGTCTCGCAAATATATATATTGTAATTGATTTAATTAATGTAAAAGGAGAAAAACACTCAATGAAAATATCAGGGTCAGTGATATTTCATCATCGCTTAGCACTTTTTACAATGCCTTTGGCTTGGGTTTCATGGTTTATAACAGAAAAATAGAGTTTTAGAGAGTAGAATCAGCATGGATTAAAATAAACAGGCATGTAGCCAGTACTGTAAATTACATAGAAATGTAAGAATATCATTCGGATTTCTTGAAAAATAGCATGAAATATGATGGACAGACCTGATATTTTGAGCATGGGTGTAGGTGTCTCTATACTGTGGAGGTGTCTCTATTGTGTTGAGGTGTCTCTAGTGTGTCTTGTTTTATACATGTAGTCCCCCGTGATAGCCAGAGCAAACAAAGATCTATCGGAAAATAAGGTCAGCGTTACTCATTCACATACATACAATATTTTCCTCTCAAAATTAACACATTTTTCTTTGCTTGATTTGCATTTCAGCTATTTTACAATAAAGCTGTATGGATTGTACAATTCAATATTCATAAGAGAGTGCTTGAAGACCCTCTCTTAATTTTTCTGTTTTCTTAATTTGAGAGAGGGGTAGGGGGATCGATTTCCTGCAAATAATGATATATCCTGTTGGTTTCTGTTTCATGTTTTAGGTTTAGACTATTTTGAGCCTGAAATGTTTGGACTTTGAACCAGGTACATTCTCAAGCATGATGATGTACAAGATGGAATCCAACAAAAAGGAAATCAATAGGAAATATCTGTGGCGTTTAAAAAATATCACTCTATAATGAAAATACAGAATACAGAATTACAATGAAACAATGTTATTAAAGCTCTCTCAATCAGTATACATTCTGCTCCAAATGTCAGCAATATATTTGTACTATTTTGCTTAATTATGCAAAGTACACAAACCAATTTTTAGTCTCAACTGAACTTCACTGGGCCTGGGCAACATATTTAGTCCCATATAAGATCCATAGGGTATCTTCAACAATCTGCACAGCCTTTATACTATGAACTTGTACTGTTACGCTTTACATGCTTTTTATGTCACCATTTAACACCAAGAAGGTGCTGCTACTAACTCTTCACATGTAAAATCTCATAGACTAGGTTTATAGACATATCATCATGTAAACGTAAATGTCATAATATTTTTAATATTGGCAGATGTATATTAATATTGCATTGTTTCGTCGTAAGTTTTTTTCTTTTTTTCATTTTATTTTAGAGAATCCATTGCATTACTGTTCATGATCAGAAGATTTATGAAATAGATTAACTTTGAACATTATTGGAGATTTTCAATAACTTAAAGGAGTCCAGTACACATCAGCAATAAATATGGTCTGGACTCTTCATGGTTGCAATAACTTTATGAAATAATCTATGGTAACATTGACCGATTCCAATTGCCCTAGACTCTAACCAACCAATACACAAGCTCAATTTGCAGTCATCAGCACAAAGGCACATACCATGTATGATACTAAAGTAATCAAAGCTTTCCTCAGTGGAATAGAAAATAATTAAATTTATTCGAACATTTACAATTTTTCATCAGTATAATCTATAACAACTGCCATTTTTTCTGATTCATATGCCATCTAAAATATATCATCTTATATTACATATGCATGAGTTCATTTTTTCTATATCAATTTAAAAGTACTATGTTTGTGCATTGCTGGAAATTTCTGTTCAACTAATGAAGTAGGCAATTTTTTGTTTACTCTAAATACAGTTGCTATTCCTTTGGGGCATGTAGCTGGGTTACATTGTAATGTGTCAAAACTTCCAAATTAAGATGACAGAAATGTATGGTCATGTGAAAATTTTTTTTTAAATGATGATCTAAAAAATTGTTACAATAGCATGTACTTTCTGCCACCATAAATGACGATAACTAAAATTAATATTGTTGAGTGAGAGTTGTCCCATCTAAGCCTCTCCCTTGTATGATTACATGTCCGCTGTCGTTGTTTATTAATTTGATTGAGCAGATCATTGTTATAATTTCCAAAAAACATTGCATCCTGGTTTTCGTTTTTTCTATTGTAACTGTAAGTAACACTTGTTCCCCAGCTTTTTCACTTTTATATGTTTTTGTAGGTATTAAATGTACACTTGTAGAAAGTATATGTACGTGTATATTGTACATGTGTGTAGAATATGTACATACATGTACAGTAAAAAAACATAAAATGTACAGTACATATACTGTAGATATGACATATCGGTATTTGGAATAACATAGTTGACTTGCTAATCAAATTTAAATTTAAAAAATTGAACAATTCAGATACAATGATATTTATTTCTCTAATTGACATGAAAATAATACCTCTGTCAAATATTAATCTACTTTATGAATAACATATTCTAAGATATGAATGTTTCCTATGTAATGTGATGAATTATTTAGTTCTAAACGTGAAATAAGATAACTCAATTTAAAACATTTTAGGCAGGCAGTCTAACCAACCTAATGATTTAATATTTTAATAAATGATTTCTAAACGCTTCTGCGCTTACGCTATTATATTATACCACATGGTTTTAATTTTGATATGTTGATTTTCAGTTGAAGAAAATACAAGATAAAGCAGAGAAGGCGCGACGTGATGTTGAATCTACCCATTCCAAGTATGAAGCTGCATTGAATGACATTAACAGCTATAATGCAAAGTATATGGAAGATATGACAGAGGTATATTGTAGTTTGCTCATATTACTTCATTTGTATTCAAATGTTCATACTTTGTGAGATATGTAATGTCCATTGAGTTTTACCATGGGCATGCATATTTTGTGAGATATGTAGATGCCTATTGAGTTTTACATTAATTCGGTTGGTTGGTTCGATTTTTTGCATTTATGAGTTTTATTGGTCATACATACTCCAATATAGACCAGTAAATCAATTGTTCTTGCTACAAGATCATATTAGAATAAGTATTATAGACAGCATTACTATTACATTAGTATAAAAAAAGTATTACTTTGATATAATTAAACTTAATGTTATATGTTATAAAGATAGAATCTGGTGGAAAATTGAGCAAACGTTGAGGTCAAAATCTGAAAAAACACTAAATTACAAGCATTAAAAGAAAATTGTATTGTGCTCATTTTCTTAATAACATTTCTGAAAAGTTTAAAGATATAATCGTAATTTAAATATCTCTGGAATTTCTATTGAATTTTATTTCTTTTACATTGACAGGTCTTCGACAAATGTCAGGAATTCGAAGAAAAGAGATTAATATTTTTCAAGGAAATGTTATTTGGAATCCACAAATGCTTGGATATTTCATCTAACCCTATGTAAGTATTCTACAACCTTAGGGATTTGATATAACAAATAAGGAAGATGGGCCAGTTTAGTACAGTTTATATACGACACCATGGAATGCCAAAAGGCCAGTTATTCAATTTGAAAAAATCGAAAATCTGATAGTGAAAAAATCATTGTGAAATTAATGGGCTAATGTAAGATGATAAAATCCCTCAGACCCTGTTAATAAAGTATCTTGTATCCACAAGTTTCAAATGGGGAAGATTTTCAAAACTAAGAAAAACAAAGAATTTCCATCACTTACTTTTCAGTTATTCCCAGATCTACCAAGACCTGCATCAAAACATTAGTCATGCAGACTTCCAGAAGGATTTAAAGTTCTGGTCCAACAATAATGGGGTTGGCATGGCAATGAATTGGCCAGTGTTTGAGGTGAGTTCTGTTTTCTGTCAGTTTAGAATTAAACACACAAACATGTATTGAGTGATATAATCTCAACTTTTTAGTACATCTACAAACCTTTTACCTGTATTTACAAGTGTTTATTAATTGCTATGTCACTTTGTTTGAATTAATGCTGTGCTTGTGTATACCATTAATCTAAACTTTCAATAATATAGTCATTTCACTGTCCTTAGCAATGCCTCAACTTGAGACAACTGTCCATTCCCATTCCAAGAGTGACTAATATTTTCCAGGGGATGTTTGGAATGAAAATTGATCTAATATCTTCAGTAAAAATCTGTGACTCACAATCATTTTATGCCTTGTATTATCATATATTCACAAAAGGCAATGCTAGACAAAAAATTACAATAGGACTTTCTGACATTTCGGTATAAATTAGTCTTCACACATGCCTCTGTATTCCTTGCTGATTTTACTCCTTTCCACTCTGTTTTGCAATTAAAAGCATGATCACTATGATATTTTCCCGCTTTTTGGAAATTTAACGGCTAATGTTAACAATGCCTGTTTGTGACTAGGTTTATACCCCAGATATACATGGTATAACGAGTAAGAAGTTCTCTGCGCTACAGAAAGAGGTCGCCTCTGAGATATCTATCCAATTGAAGAGCATCAGCCATGACCAGTACAACCGCGAGTTTGTTGTAATGTTTCTTGATTGTTTGATTGTTGTACTTTTTGGCTATTACAGTGAAACCTGGTCCTGTATATTGCAAGCATTCTCAATGTTCCGAAAGACCACTATAGTAGATAGATCACTAAAAGTAGAATCTAACAAAGGGGAGACTTCAATAATATTTCTTTTAGTCAAGAAAATACATATGCACCTATGTATATCAGTGCTTTAAAAATGATTGTTAAATATATCGAAAAAATCATACAGTATGTATCAAAATCTCGTCAATGAATTTTAATTAAAAAAACTTTTCACTTCTTCTTTGTTTGAGGGAGAGTTTAAGGTATTGGTGCTTTCAGGAAAATGTTCACATTACAGGTTTCACTGTAATACAGATAATATGTAATATTATATCTTATTTAAGTCCCTAAATTTGGTGCAACTTTAAATGGTTCAATTTTTTATGTGGCAGGTGGAGAAATGAATGAGTGAGAAAATCAGTGGTACTTGTGGTTAATTCCTGTATCACACTTTTTGAGAAAGAGTTGGGCATGTATTTATCGTAGCATGTAAATTGCTTGAAAATTGTGAATGTGGAAGGACTTAGAAGGATCGTTAAATCTTGCTGCATATAAATATAAATGTATGAATTCCCTATAGATATTATCACACTGTACTTGTGCCTTATTGCGAAGGAAATCAAAAGGAAGCAAGACAAAATATCAGATTCAGTATTCAAGAGCGCATATTATCTATAAGTTACAGGAACTTTGTAAAGCAGGTTACTTCCTTGTAACATATGGCGCTACTGATTATGATATTATCTTCAACCAGACCAGTTTGTGGCATCAATTGATAATACACCACCAGGAAAAGAAGCTATTTTTCACATATCTTATATCTCATACTGGGTGTTTCCAAGTATAACAGTGATTCATCCGTATTGTATATTATTTGCCTTTAAATGCGTTATTTATTGACATGACAAATCTCACTCATACATGATTTAAATGATTATAAGTTTCTTATCATTATATTTTGAGAAAGGCAATTTCTTTCTATTTTTGGAACTTTTACCAAGCTTTTTTGTCTCAGCAATTTTTGATGAAGTAGGCAGTAGTTTGATTTGACCAGGGAAAAGTTTCAGTTAAGATTTTGTCATTCTTGTTGTCTGATGGTCTCTGGCTTTATAATGATCCACTTTCCAATGCCTCCTGGTTTCTTGTCCTGTATCTTAAATCAAAGGCCTGCATTGCATGGGGACTGTAAAAGAAAAGCTGTCTATGAATTGTAAATTACCAATCATTGTTCCCAATTAATATTTTATCTACCATTTACTAACACTTACCTTTAACCACCATTAACTTCTGCTGTCCAGTTCAAATCTTCTCTTTTCTAGCAAAACTTGTTTTTAAAAGCAATAATAACAATGTATGAAAATGAGGCACTTTTTTCAACTGGCTGATCATTTTTTATTTCAGGAATATTCCCCAGAACTTCAAGATATCTCAAAGAAGAAGAAGAAAGACTTATCAGGTGGCGGTGATACGGGGATCACACTAACGGGAATGAGCTACCATCGCAAGACTGACAGCAACGTATCGGACCCACCTACACAGAATCCTTTGTATAACGCAAATAGTCGAAACTCCACAGATGACAACAGTCCGCGAGACCACCAGGCAGTTAACAATATGGCACAATCTCAACAAGCCCCACCAAAGTAAGAGAACCTGCATTTTTCAAATCGTTTCCTTTTTGATTGATCAGAAACAAATGACGGGTGAAGTTCATAAATAATACCATTGTCATTTAATATACTCAGAAATTGAAAAATTAAAGAATTGAGAATGATAACTTTTGTGAATTAAGAAATGGAACTAAAAAGAAGTATTTTGAATACTCCTGTAACTGTTAATATATTTAATTAGTGGAGGGTGGTTGGAAAGTTCATTGTTTGCATTAGAAATGCATTGTTGGGTTACTCCTGTAGAAGTTCCTTTTACCAGGTGTAGGCAATTCAAAAGGTTAATGGAAATCCCTATTAATGATTTGTTATGGTATTATGTTAGTTTATATCATGTATGAACTAAATGTTATGTAAGAAATAGCATGATATCCCGGTAAAGAGCATCACTTCCTCAACATCAATTAATGTCACTAATTACTTCTGTCACAATCATTACTTCACTGTCATTTGTCACAGATTTTTCCTTTTCAGTGATTCTAGGTGTTCTTTTTTGGTTTACATAACAAAAGTTATTTTTAGGCCACCACGTGTCAGTTTGGGTTCATACGATGAGGCAAAGAATCCTTTTGGCGATGATGATGAAGATGAGGCTAATACGATTAATCTTAGTACCTCTAGCGAAGGCGATGACACTAACGTGGTTGACCTCAAATCTGTTAGTGAGGGGGGGATGACCCCAGGGGTGGTGGCTAGCGAGGGGGATCATGATCATGACATGACCCTAGGGGCAGAGGCTTTCTCTCATTCCCCTCCCACAACTGACTCTTATGCTACCCCAAGTGAAAGTCCATCTGGCTCACTAGAGCGCTCCACCAGTCTTCCCATTCCAGAGTCGCATGATGAACAGGAAGTGACAACACCAGTTGTAACTAAGCAACCAGAAATCCCCATAATTTTAGCTCCAAGTTCACCAGTAAAACAACTTGAAATACCTGAGTCCCCTAAAGCACCTCCTCGATCACCCAAAATGCAGAGGGCGCCACTGGCTCCCGTGTCACCATCACCCAAACGTTCAAAGCCACCACCTCGCCCATCTCGCCCCCCACGACCTGTGTTGAAAAGGTTCGATTTCAGGATTATCGCATGGGTTGATTTTTATAATAATTCAGTGTTTTGAACCCTTGTAACATGATCTCACACTGTCCACACTTTTTTATTTAAGAAATAAGAACAGAAAAACAATATAGCAAGGAAAACTAATATAAAGGAAAATCTCAGTAAATCCTGGAAAGTTGACACTATTGTTGTATTGTTATAGCAACAATAAAACTATTACATGATTTTTTACTCCAAAAATGAATATTGTAAAATTCAAAAATGCTTACAGTACATTAATGTTTGCATCAGACTACACCCTTGTCTGTTTTTTATTTCATGCAGTTATACATGGATTACTGTCTATATACACAGCATTTAATGACACGCATGTGAGGTCTTGTTCGAGGTTATGGAGCTAGGTCTACTGTAACATGCTTTCGCAATATGTGCTGCTATCTCTATAGGGAGTTTCAATGACTAAACAGGGGTCAGTTTCTAGAATTTATCACAAATCACAATTCTCTATTGAACTTGCTATAGTGAGACTTTGTCATGATTATGGCTGCAAAATGTAAAAAATGAATATGTGAAATTTCAGGAATTGTGCTATTTGATGAGTTGGAGATATGGCCCCAGTAAGGGATCAGGGGATACTACAAAAATGTGATTATTTTATTTTGATTCAATTTGTTGTTTCAAGTCTTTTGATGTCATCATACATTCGCACAAATTGTATACTTTCAAATTGATATCATTGAGTAGATTATGTGATGTCCCCTACACCTGAATGCTACTTTTGCTAGAGCATGTACAGTACCCTGCTTCCAAAATGTATTTTAGGGCGATTTACTGTCATAAAAACACTTGAGATATTTACTTGTATTCTAGCTGCATTGTGCCTAGTGAAACTTGGCATGATTCGGTTTGATAGATACCGATTACATCAAATGAGATCATATTTTCTCATATATCTTGTCATAAGCCGTAACCATAGCAACATTTTTATGCACATGATTTTGAATCCCCAGATAGGGCCTTGAAAATATACATGTACACGTAGTAAAAGTAGCTGCATGTTTAGCTGCCATGATTTATATGATATTGTAAACTGTAATGTTGTGCTATACCCAAGTCTATCCCATTATTTGCTGTCCCATACCCCTTAGACTCCAGTGTCTTAGTAGAGCTCAGAATGCTCGTAGGAGGACCATGTGCATGCTGGAAACTGATGTTGTCAGTAGTGTGTGAGAAGTGTGAACAGTAGTGTGAATTTCCCATTAGTGTGATAGGTATCATCATTGATTTAAATGTTGTCATGTATTAAGATTAATTATTATGATGTTGTCTTTTGTGTGAATATTGTTGCCATTATTATAAGCATTGTAAATGCTGACTACATTAGTGCAAATGCTGTCATCATTAGTGTGAATGCTGTCATCATTAGTGTGAATGCTGTCATCACCAGTGTAAATGCTGTCATCATTGGTGTGAATGGTGTCATCATTAGTGTAAATGCTGTCCTCATTAATGTGAATGCTGTCATCATTAGTGTGGATGCTGTCATCATTAGTGTGAATACTGTCATAATTAGTGTGAATGCTGTCATCACCAGTGTAAATGCTGTCATCATTAGTGTGAATACTATCATCGTATAGTATGAATGTTGTCATCATTAGCATGAATGCTGTCATCATTAGTGTGTGTGCTGTCATCATTAGTGTGAATACTGTCACCATTAGTGTGATTGCTGTTATTATTAGTATAAATGCTCTCATCTTATATATAGTATTAATGCTGTTATCATAAGTGTGGATTTTGACATCAGAAATGTACCAGTAGTTTTCCTCCGTGTAATTGCTGCATTTTGTCTTCTGCCCATGAGTGATGCTTCCATTGTAACATCCTTGCATTAATACTGTGATCTTTTATGACTTTCTTGTATTGGCTAAAAGCAATCAAGACCTTGGAAATCTTGAAGCATTTATATAATATACATGTAATGCTATATCCAGATTTCTCCTTTGGCCTTTACTTATAGGTTTATTTGAAGGTTGATACTCTTCTGAAGTCTTTTTGTAATCCTTATTAACTGTTGTCTCGATGTGGCTTTAATCTAACTGGTTTCACATTCTTATTGTCATAATGTTTAAAAGTAATTTTCTTTTGTTAAATTCATATTTCCGTCATTGTAGTTGGTATTGTATTTGTTACTTTGAATACATCACTTTTTATTAATGATATTGTGTTGTTGACACCTTGATATTGTATCAGTGAAATCTAATATCTCTTCAGCGAACTATAATACATTGATTAATATCACCTTCAAGGCTCTTACCCTACTAAGCCATTTTTTCTAGATACGAGTAAGTGCGTCATGATTGAAATATTTAGTTGGATTTCTATTCATGTATATGCAACAGATAGATTAAAAGGTTCAGTGACTTTTCCAATGTAAAAACCATTGAATTTTGCCAATATGAAAACCATTGAATTTTGCCAATTCGAAAACCATTGAATTTTTTCAATGTAAAAACCATTGCATTACCAATGTGAAAACCATTGAATTACACCAATGAGAAAATTATTAAATTTCCAATCATGATTCACAATATTTTTAAACAAGCATTTGGTGTATGATGTAAATGACAGCAGATAAATCATTAATCTTTTATTTCATTTTTAGAAAATCATCATATGATCCTGAGCTCAATCCATTTGGTGATGATGATGACGATGATAATGGCAATATTACTAAGTAGGACTACATCTTTAAGCACTGAATGCTTGGCTAAGTCTGGCAAAATTGGAGAATTTTTTTATTTTCAGTTTAAGGCTTTATTTTGCTTTAGGGATAGAAAATTCTGGAATTTTTTGATTGAGGTGTATTTACAAAAATTGAAGTAAAGATGAGCAATAAGACATGAAATAAGATATAAAATATCCACATCTAAGTTGATACTTTTTTCTTAACAGAAATGATTGTCTATTTTTCTCTTTCATTGACTTATGATGCCATAGGTACATTCGAGACATTTTATGAATATAATTAATAGTCCTAACAGTTGTACTATTTCTTTTGATTTCTTCAACTTTGCCAGATTTACCCATGTTTTACCGACTTTATTTTTAAACAGTATTGCATTTTATAGGTGTGTGTATAGCACCATGTAGCAATGGCTGTGTATGTTGTGCTTCTAACTGCTACTAGGGCGTGATTTGTTAACTTTTATTTCGATGTCCCCATCGTAAAATCTTTGATTTTTCAGTACTCTTCAAAGTTGATAAAGATACTAATGTTGTGATATTATTACTTCATTTAGATTTGCTCTTAATAGTTCACAACTTATTTCCAATTATTTTATATCGTATTAAGTGATTCTTATTTTGCAAAACAAACCCATGTTATCAATAGGTAAATCTTCTTTGTTTTAAAAGATTGTGTATCACAATGCTTTCAAGATGTTGAAAATGTTTCTTTTCTTACATTGTATTTTCATTTGGTTTCCAAAAAATACTATTTGATATCTGTAAACAAATGTCCTGAATGACACCTTTGTTCAGATGCAATTTTCGAAAAGCAACACTGTATTGATTGTATGTTGTTTTTACATTCATTCATTTTTAACTGTCCTTCTGTAGAAATAACCATACCATTACATTTGTGATATCATTTATCAATTTTACTTTTCCCTGGTTTTAGAATGCTGCATCATTCATGTTATGCTATGTGTTGAGAAATTGCTGTTCATCATTTGAGGAGAGAATTCTGTTTGAAGTGCACAGCATGTTTAAATGTCTGTTACTTGTATTTAGTCCTTGAGTTTTTACTAATGACTCATCTTGTGTATCATGCATCATATACTTAAGATGTAGAAATGTTCAAATTCATTAAAATTGAAAAGGGGGTGTCCACTTGTATGTCACCACCTGAAGTGGTCTTAAACTTAATGTGGACAGGGTTTGGTGTTCAGCGTTCGGCGTCTGCAACAAATGGCTTGTGGTGACCTTTTGCATGTTAATGCCTTGGTCATTTTTTGTGAGATAACCTTAAGAACCATGGATAGAACAAAAATTCAAAATTGCTTCCTCGCCTAGTTTTTAACTCACTCGCCCGTTTTAGTAGATTACTTTAAGATTGATGCATGGTACTCCTTATTGCAGCATCCACTCGACGCATGTCATGCACGGAGATATATGATTGGATGATTTAGAAAATGAGCAATCCTTTGCATCTTGTGTTGTTATAATGTTATATCATATTGTCTTGAAATTAGTTGTATGAAAATAATGATCGATCAATGTAGTTCCCCTACTGTTGATCATGTTAAGTTCAGTTTTGAAATAGAAAAAAGAAATAAAAATGCACCGTGAGTTTAAAACCCATGTATTTACAAATGATACCTAGATTAGCATCATTGACTAAATTTATTCTTGAGATAAACCTAATTCTTAATTTACCCGATGCCTCAATTGCAGCACATCGAATCGGCAAAGTAACGCGTCGCCAAATCCTTTTGGTGACGATTGGGCGGATGAGCCTACAACAACACGGCCTGATGTGACAGATAATGGTGCTGTGGGTGTACCCGTTAGAGCTTTGTATGATTATGATGGCCAAGAAGAAGATGAGTTAACATTTAGATCAGGTCAGAGGACGTCACTATCGTTAGCATGTGGTTCAGTCTAGGACGCATGGGCTTCATGCTTGGTGTACTAACGCTCTCTCTTTGATGATTTCTATTGATGTTTTTAACTTTTGAGTGTGTTTCTTACTAATCCTTCACTTTCTTTTATCTTTGTAGCATGTGATTATACGAGTATATTGTATCACCGTTTGGATTTCTGCTTTTTAACACATCTTTGTATTGCACTAATGTAGCCTATACATGAGTCTATACTAACATTACATTATACTACATGCAAAAAATCAAGGATCTCAAGAAGCCATTATAGGATGGGGTATACTCAATAAGTGTAGTAAGTACTACCTTATGTAGCTAAATCAAGTTTTAAAGGTAAGATTTTTGCACCCATTTTAGCCACAGGACAGTGCTGAGGATGATTGTCAACTGTCACAGTTACTCCAGGGTTTGATTACTATTTAGCCTCTGGTTTCCTAGTTTGCTATGATTGACTCCCCATTTAAAAGTTTCCTTCTGTTTGTAACAGTAAGAATGGGGTGAACAAGAGAGGCAAAGGTGGCGCCACCAAACGTCAAACCAGCTCCAGTAGTTGGTATGTAGAGGAGAATCAACCAATCAGTGAACCCCCTCAGAGTAATCCAGCGGAACAAACCAATGGGGATAAATATGCCCTGAAATCATCTGGTTCCATAGATTCCTATTCAAACCCGGAACCTGCGAAAAGGAAAAACAAATCCACACCCACTGAAACCATTCAGAACCCTGACAATGAATATAATTATGGTAAAGAAAATGTTCATGAGGCCACCCCCGTTTATGATACCCCTAAAACAAGCAATTATGACAGCCCTGTATATAGTGACGCCGATATGAGATATGAGACCCACTCATCATCTTCGACGCACCGTGTTGAATCTACGCATTATGTGACAAATCATTATGATGATGAAGAGGGGACTTATGCAAACATCCAACGTAAGTTTGATGATGTCATAATACACTATGATGTCACAATACACTGACCTTATAAGGACCCCTCGGCCTTTAACCATCCTTAGGGATTCTACTATCTAAAAGACCACATGTACCCACCCCGATGGAAACCTACCACTTCAAAACTTATGATTTGACCTAATTCTTCATCTTTCCCATAATGCACTTCAGATATGAGGAGCTAACAAATGGGGCTTATGGGCATGATGGTTACACCAACCCTCTTCCTAGATCAACCCAAAGTAACCCAGGTATCAATATTATTTTCAATAAAACACTTCCATCAAATAAATGCTGTGATAAATCTGTTCACATTTAAAGCATAAAAAAGTACTGGTAAACTAGATAAATATTACCATTTTTATTCTATAACATCAGGAAAGATATTTTGATTACACTACGAGTATAATCACTCAAAAAGAAAGTTTCATAGACGTTGAAGTATAAATTATTTTTCATAAATGATATTTATATAATAATTTACATATTCTTTTATATTTAACAGTTATACTTTTTTAAATTTAGTTAATTTGTTAGCAAGTAGATACTGATAAACCTGCCTTTCAAATAATTTCCTCCAAACTTAGAATCACATTTCAGAATTTAGTTAATGCTTAATACCTTAGGGGGATGGTGGAAGAAAACATCTTTGAAAATTGCTATACCAGCCAATGTTATTTTCTGGTACAAAATAAAGTATGAAGGCATGCATGTATATCATTGTTTTTTCAGGAAAATACCATTACAATGTTTTCTTTTAGTAAACCTGTAAGAGGTCAATGGTAACTCCAGAAAATACATTCAAAATGGCCGCCTTTTCAATTTTCGAAATATCTCAAAGTTTCTCAACAACACATCATTACATACAATTTATTTCTAACTCATTTAACACAAGATGCAACAAGGATGCTTTCCAGAAAAAATAAGAAAGTACACCCATGTCTTCATACTGTTGAGATTGAGACCCCAGACCCCATAGATTCACACAAAATTAGCCTTATTCCTTTAATAGTTCCAATTGCGGAATTTACAATTTCAACCTACATAATTCCTGGAAGAGTAGTATGGCATATATCTATGATATCTTGTAAATGTTATAACGGTTATCTTTATGCTTTCTCACATTCCCCATCATCCTCGCAACCCCATTTAGAACTAAGAACCCCTTCCTCTCCTATCCTGATTATTAGGTAAGTCAGTAGGCACATATTGCATTTAAATGTGTTCATATAAATATGTTACAGTTTATAAGCTTGTGTTCTGGTACTGTGCACTGGGCTGTGTTATGGTACTGTGCTCTACACTGTGTAATGGTACTGTGCACTAGATTGTGTTATGGTACTGGGCATTGGACTGTGTTATGGTACTATGCACTAGACTGTGTTATAGTACTGTGCACTACCCTGTGTAATGGTACTGTGCACTAGACTATGGTATGGTACTATGCACTGGGACTGTGTTATGGTACTATGCACTAAACTGTGTTCTAGTACTGTGCACTAGATTGTGTTATGGTACTGTGCACTAGATTGTGTTATGGTACTGGGCATTGGACTGTGTTATGGTACTATGCACTAGACTGTGTTATAGTACTGTGCACTACGCTGTGTAATGGTACTGTGCACTAGACTATGGTATGGTACTATGCACTGGGACTGTGTTATGGTACTATGCACTAGACTGTGTTATGGTACTTTGCACTAGATTGTGTTATGGTACTGGGCATTGGACTGTGTTATGGTACTATGCACTAGACTGTGTTATGGTACTGTGCACTAGACTATGTTATGGTACTATGCACTGGGACTGTGTTATGGTACTATGCACTAGACTGTTATGGTACTATGCACTGTACTGTGTTATAGTACTGTGCACTAGACTGTGTAATGGAACTGTGCACTAGACTGTGTTATGGTACTGTGCACTACGCTGTGTAATGGTACTGTGCACTAGACTATGTTATGGTACTATGCACTGGGACTGTGTTATGTTACTATGCATTAGACTGTGTTATAGTACTGTGCACTAGACTGTGTAATGGTACTGTGCACTAGACTGTGTTATAGTACTGTGCACTAGACTCTGTAATGGTACTGTGCACTAGACTCTGTAATGGTACTGTGTAATGGTACTGTGCACTAGACTGTGTTATAGTACTATGCACTGTACTGTGTTATAGTACTGTGCACTAGACTGTGTAATGGAACTGTGCACTAGACTCTGTAATGGTACTGTGCACTAGACTGTGTTATAGTACTTTGTAATGGTACTGTGCACTAGACTGTGTAATGGTACTGTGCACTAGACTGTGTAATGGTACTGTGCACTAGACTGTGTAATGGTACTGTGCACTAGACTGTGTTATACTACTGTGCACTAGACTGTGTAATGGTACTATGCACTGTACTGTGTTATGGAACTGTGCACTTAGATTATTTGTAGCAATTTTGTAACTGATTGTACTTGGTTGCTATAGTAACTAAAGGAGCAGGGGTAGCTGTGAGAGCAATATTCGACTACTACAGTCAAGAGGAGGACGAACTTACATTAAAAGAAGGTAAAACTAAACTATTAATTAGTTGTAAAAGATTTCCTTTGTGAAAATAACTTTCTTTTCTGCACATTTGCATGTTGTGTGTCTGGTATTATAACTTCTTTGTGGCATGTTACTAACATAAACTGACATATTTCCATGATGCATGTTTACTATCCCAATATATTTAACTCGAGATATGTGACTGAAAGTGATCAGGGAGATATTGTACAGTACTGTAACAGGCCCATAGCCAGCTTTTGCTAAAGTGGGGGGGGGGCACTTTTTTAAAATTCCAGGGGGGTTCCCATTTGACAAATTTTTGCCCAAAATCACTTGAAATGCTCAGGGTGAAAACTGTATGATTTTAAAACTTAGAATTTTTGGCCAGGGGGTCACCCCCAACGCCCCTGGCTATGGGCCTAAGTAAAGTCCCTAGAACCTAATAAAAAAATTTGATAAATAAATCAACAAACTTTCATAACTGCATGTGTTCTTATTATAGAAATATTAGAGAGAATTTAAAAGGAAAGAATTGTGATCATTTAATAAGATGCATTAACGTACATAGCATCACCTCTTTTACATTTCTTATGTAACTCAGTTTAGTATAATAGTATTGTATTCTGATTGGTTGCTATCTTTGTGATATTTAATATTATTGCACCTTTCAGGTGATGTGTTCACAAAGCTAGAAGATGAGGATGAACAGGGCTGGTGTAAAGGCCGTAAGGACAATACTGTGGGACTATATCCCGCCAATTATGCAGAAGAGATCAAATAAGTGCAACTCAGATGGCAGTTAGGATATCATTATCATTACTTTGGAATGGGGATTAATATATAAAGTATTCATAAATACAATTTGGTTGTAGGGCTAGAATACAATCAGTGAGCTAGTTCGTTGTCTGAAAGAATTGAAAGATCAATATCGTTACCTCTAAATTCATCAGGAGCTTCCATACCAGCACAGTAAATCCTGCTAAGTAAAACCCATGTTAGTGGAACACCTGTGTAAGTGGAACATCTGTGAGTGGAGCACCTCTATGAGTTACCCATAACTTAATGCAATGAAGAATGAACTTCTTTAAGGAGAACACATCCAAGTTGAACACTAGTTTGAGACACTAAAAGCATTTCACTTTCATGGGTTTTCCTGTCTGTGGATATAAAGTAGCATTGGTATGACAATACCATTGGAAGAAGCAATACTGTTTGAGGTAGTTAATTGTACAGGACATTGAGAGAGGTATCAGGTTAATGCAGTGTAATAAAATATCCTAGACATGGTATTGAACAGGTGTATGCAGGGGCTCCAGTTTCAAATTTATCCCCCGCCCCCACTCATTTCGTCAAAACTTCAAAGTCTCGATGTAATCTACTTATAAGAGATAAACCTCTGTTAATCAGTTGATCTGCAAAGCTTCTTGATTTTACTATTATTTGTAATTTTATAGTTTTGTTTGTCACAGGAAGCTTTGTAACAGTAAGAATGGGGTGAACAAGAGAGGCAAATGTGAAAACCTGAGTATCGTTGTAATCTACTTATAAGAGATAAAATCAGTTGATCAGTCTTAATCAGTTGATCTGGAAAGCTTCTTGATTTTACTATTTTTTTTTTGTCACAGGAAGCTTTGTTTTTGAAATGTGATTTTTGCGCCAACTCAGTTCCTATATCCTCTTCACTTATGTGAGACACCACATAGAGACATGAGACACCACATGATGACTTCTTAATTAATATGACATCTATTCAGGCTTATTTCATGCTTGTTCTCATTAACATTTTGAGTGAAATATTTTTTATTTTTGTATGTCTACAATTTATGGTGTTGACTGTTTACTGTACAGCACTTTTTTCATGGAAACTTCAATTCTTTTTGACCATTTTTGTATTCATATGCAACCTCCATGGCAATAGTCTTATAATTTCGGAGTCCCTGCTACACTGCATACCAGGGAAAGTAAGGCTTGTAATAATGTACAACATAAATGTATTTGTGCATTAAACAGTAAAATAATGCATGCTGCATATTGTATAAGACAGAGTTGGAAAGTGAATTGAATTGTTTACAGAAGACACAACGAGTAGAATTGATTCACTACTCATAAGAATGAAATGCTGAAGTCTTATAGCAGATACTTGCCAAATCCTCCATAATATTTTGATAAATGGTAAAATAGAAAACATAATGAATAGAATTTCTGTTTTCAAAAAATGCAGTACATTTAATTTTGACACATTCCTACCATCTGAGGACTTATCTATTTACATCTGATATATCACTCCTAATTAGTATATTCAATTTACAGTACATGTAGATTGATTGATTTGTATTATTTATAGAGACTAATTCACAGTGGAAAATCCCAATACTCCCCATTACATAGGGTGCACTATTAAGAGTTTGTTGAACACTGAATTAACACTATATATAAAGTATAATAATGGCCTATGTAATTTGAACTAGTCTGGTTATACTTAGAATGAAAACAGAATAGGATTCATTGTTTCTGTTTGATTGTTTAGTTTAGATCATTTATTTTATCAATTTACTTTATTTGTCATAATTAACACCTCCCACCTTGATGAGAAAATAAATGGCCATTCTTGTCATGTACCTGTACCCCTGTTTCCCATAATGCATCAGATATAAGCAGACGTCATTATGTAAATAGGATTTCTATGCTCAAGGTACATGATGATTTCTGAGAGCTTTTTATTACACTTGCTAAATAAAATATCTAAAAATGAGACTGAGAAAGTGTTCACAATTGAAATTGTTCAAATACACGGGTTTAATTGTATATTATATTATTCATATGCGTCTATTGTTTCCCATGGAAGCATGTATTTTAGCTAGAGAAACAAATATGATACATGTGTATTGTAGTTAAAATGCTTTAGATGTTGACAAACATATAAGTATTATATGCAAGAACTTATCTTATGCTCTTTTCTTTCTCTTAAAACTAAGAATATCTTTTTTTTGAAAATTTGCATAACTTAAATGTTTTGAACATCAGTGTTTGATGGTTCAGTTGTGGTAGTATGCGGTCATCTTTTTATGGCAGCCACTTAGTCATATCAAAATTAAGATACACCAGTCATATCATGACAGTCATTTTTATTTTTCTTATCAATACAATGTTGTTGCTGACAGATGATATTACTTGGGGTTATTTGGTATTATAAACTAAAAGAATATAATATGTATATTGAATTATGTTTGAAGCTATCAGAAGGTACATTAAAGGTATTGTAATTATTGATTTTAAGAATATGTACAGTAGAGAGTTCATATATAACATGTATAAAGAGCTATCTGAACAATTATTATATACCAATCGGTATAATTTTATTTATTATTAAAAACTATATTCACAACTAGGACATCACTGTTGTTGAATTTGATTTGAGTTCCACATAAAAGATTCAACGCTTGCTCCTCCTGTATATGATCACTATCAATTTAGTATGTATATTTTGATTACTGTGGTATCACAATATGTTATTTTTGGTATACAGAGTGCCCCAAAAGTGAGTTGAATGGATCTACTTTTCTGTTTTTCTGGGACACCCTGTATTTCCAACCAGTATTTATCCACAATGTGTAGTTATTCCTTGTATTATGGTTATAGGTCAGATTATCATAAATCAGAAAATTTGAACAGTAAGTTACAGTGTGACTCAGAAGTTGTAGATTTATCTGTGACACCTTGTACTTGAGAGTTCACTAAAATGGAATAAATAAACTACCAGACAAAAGCCTGATGCTGATTAAGGTGATATACATGTACTAGTATGTAATTACAGGTGGGGGTAGAGGCGATGAATTTAAATATTTCATCTATTTACAGTAGTATGAAATGTTTGCCAAACATTGTTTAAAACAAAATATGCAATTTGTTATTGTTGTATGCATTCTTGCAATAATCACTTAAATACAAGATACAATTATTATAGTTTAATATCAGTTTTTACTTTGGTTAATTTACTCAGTTTTATATGTCTCTGATTTACTGTGTTTCAAAAGGAGACAGTTTATCAAGTGAAGACTAAATCAATGTACGTAACTTTGAAATTGTGCACTGTTATATGCATTTTCTGTTAAAAACCTGTAATGTATAATTTATTTGGTTTAACATTATCTCGCCATGATTTAGAGAATGTACATTTATATATGTATATATATTACATCTTAAAAATAAAATATTTTGATACACAAAATATTACTTCCAGTAGTCCAAAACACTTCATTTTATGGTAGGCTACCCAAAAAGGTAATGCTGTCAACAGATTTGCAGCATGCAGAGAAGTTTCACTATTTTTGTCTCTATTTCTTGATAAATTATTGATTGATGAATTCAGATTTTTAGGGAGGTTTTGGGATGAGAATCTATAACTTTTTGGAATACATTTCCGGAGTTGGAAAACATAAGGAAGGGTCTAGGCTTCAAGTCTTTAAGAGAACGTGTATGTGAATGTGTAGAATTATGGTCCTTTATTAATTGATAAGTTCCCCCATTCATAAAAGATGTAATTACTAAAAAGTTACTTACTTACTATTAAGTTTATTGGGACATATTAAACATCAAATGCTTTGCGTTTTTTTGGATTTTTATTTTGTTAATAGCATGCAAAAAAGTTTTTTTGTGAATTACATTCAGACCAATATGACGAATCGACAAACTAAAATATTTTTTAACTCTTAATTGTCCCTGTATATTGTTCAATCACATGATCTAGCATTATAACGACTATTACTATATTGCAAGACCTCTTACTAAACATGCTAAAATAAATAAATACAATAGTTAAATCCCAAGAACTGTGAATGAGGCTGTGCAACTGTAAATAAAAGTAGGTCATTTCTGATTGAGACAGAATCCAATTATTCAATTCAAGCCTATTGCTCATTGTTGCATGTTGTCAGTACTAAATGAAGAAAATACATTGTAAATGAATTAATAGTTTAATCCTAAGACTTGCGTATGGGGCTGTACAATTGTAACTGTAATGGGCAGAATTCAATATTAGCAGGCCAGTAAGGCCCCAATTTCAATTGTCTACGTTTTCCGGCATTTAAAAGAGATGTTCTTCCGCAGAGAGAAAGTAGTATAGACTATCAGACTATTGGGATTGTTCAAATCAAATGTTGCTCCTTGCTTCACATTGGCAGTGGAATTCATTTACTTCTATTAGAGAGGTCTCTTAAACCATCCTGTATACGGAATACCGATCAGAGCGTTTCGCCACATGCGGTGCACATCAACGAAAGGGTTTTGAATGGCATATATTCTTGTTGCTTGCGCTGTAGTTCTCTGGCGTTCAGGTTCTTTAAAGTTTCTGATAATCTCTTTCAATTTGTCTTGTCCAGTTTTCGGTTGTTTTGGACTCGGGCGATATTTAGGAAAGGACACTTGCCAAAATCGTTTCTCATATTTTGGAAAATGTCTGTTAAGTCTGAAATCATTATTTAATGCGAACTCGACATTGGCGTCTGCATCTGAGTTAATAAATGAGACTGGTTTCCTCACACGTTCTGCATCGTTAATTGGTTTCAATTTGCCAAACACGAGATTGTTTTGTTGTCTCTTGCCAGGCAGTGCCATCGAGCATTGCTTACATATCCCCGACAACAGGCAAGTCTGCATTCTTCCGATACAAGCAAATACCGGACAACCACATGCTGGAAGGAATTTTGTCATGATTATGTCGAGGCTAGGTATTTATTCGAAAGTAACAATTGAATTGCAGAAACTAAAGCCCGGTATACACCAATTGGGCGAAATCCCACTTGCCCCATCGAATCCCAACTTGCCCAATCTAATCCCACGATGTCCCATGGGACTTTGATGACTTTGCCCCATCGAGTCCCATCGTGCCCCATCGATTCCCAACTTGCCCCATTGAGCCCTATGAAGTCCCAATAGATCCCAAGGAGTCCCATGGAGCAAGTCACGTGATACGTCATCGAAATCCCACGTTGCTCCATGGAAAGAATGAACATGTTCATTCTTGATGGGGCACGATGGGACTCCGTGGGATTTTGCCCCATCGAGTCCAACCGAGTCCTACGTGGGACTTCATGGGACCTCGTGGGACTTGATGGGGCAAAATCCGACGGAGTCCCATGGGCTTCATGGGGCAAAATCCCAAAAGGTCCCACGAGGCCCCACGCAATGTTAAGTCTATGGAGGTACCAACTTGCCCCATCGGTGTATACCGGGCTTTAGGGTCATATCGATTATCTTTGATGATAGGGTTAAAAATGATTGACGCCGATCCTTTAGTTTTAATTTTCAAAATGTGACCTACCTAATATACGTGTACCGCCAATTGTTATTAGGGAGTTTAAGCTTGCAATATTTTTCACAACCTAAACGTGAAAGGAAAATATTTAAGCGATGCATTTATATGGAAATTTGGTCATACGTATGGGTTGGCGTTTCGATTTTATATGCAAGCTTAAACTCCCTATTTTGACATTGTCACCTACCTGTAGCGTAATCTATAGCAGCCTTCATGTCGTCTCTGGTTACTCTTCGATCATCATCATCATCATTGCTTCTTGCGGATGAAACCGTCATCATTACCAGGATCACTACCCGCACTCCTGCTGTAGTCATGGCGGCGATAACTCCTCGATTATGTTGTGCCAAGCCTTTACGAATTTGTAATATTTCCTTTTTATTAGTGTTTGTTACGACTAAAGAAGTCATTTGAGACATTTTGAAAATTAGTTGATTAAGAAATGAAGATTGTAAAATGCATTATTTTATCAAGATAAGAACCAACTTTTAATAACGTATTCATGTACATTAAAAAGAATATGTGTATTAAACGAGTCTTACCTGAATCGAGATTTGAATAACTTATCAAATGATGATATTCTTTTTAAATACTTCAAACATAAAAATACCCCAACTCTCAGCTTCTGGCCGTTCCTGCTCGAATGAAAATGATAAATTCTCTTATTTATATATCATTATCAGATCTTATTAAAGTTATGAATATATGATTCTATGCTCCGCGTGGGCTTCTCTTTACAATTCTTTGTTAGGGATCTGGGCAACCTATCTAGTTTGCGAAAGTTGTTTTGTAAAGCCCATATCCGTTACAGTAACATTTCCATACCATGACATTTACATGGTATATTTTAATTGCCGGCATAGAGGGGAGGGGTCTTATGTTTTGACGAATCACGTTCGCATTCGCATTTATATCTTGACATGGTCCCTTAGATAATAAGTATCATATTATCAAGAGATACGTCATCTCTACATCGCCAACATTGCTTTTGTCCAGGCACCTTTGTGACATTATACCATCTTCAATGCTTAAAGAGGTATTTGAGATAGGATGATAGCCCTTCGGGCAAACTAAAGCATTTTACTTTTGAATTTGGTTTTAACACTCATTCTTTTTGGAGGGTGCCTTTTGGAGGTACGTGTGGATTTTAGCATCTTATTTCGTCGTCTTTTCTTGGTGCATATATTGAAACTGTTTTTCGTATTATGTCGTATCTACATTTATTTAATGTATATTAATAGACTTAGTAGTGTCTATCTATTTTTTGCGTGACGTAATATTTTTTGGACAAAGAGCTTAATTAAGGGTAGTACGTACTATCTCAGCTCTGCCTGCATCATCAATTTAATATCGGTGCATTTTTGTATACGTGTTAAAATATAATTATGAATCATTTCAATAATAGTGCGTATATCATGAAAGCCTCCATACTTTAATGCGACTGATTAGTAGAGACTGATGCATTTAAAATATTCATGCTACGTACTGTATTCATCCAACCCCATTGACTCATTTTTTTAAAATACGCAAATCATAGAATCGCTCAGGATGTACCAGAATTGCCTAGAATGCTGGGCATTTTTCAAAATTTGGGCCCTTATTTTCTTCTGTGCAAGCGCGCAAATTTTTGGGTCTCCTCCCTTGTTTCCGTGGCCCCTGGTGTCTTGTTAATAACACCCTTGTGGTCACAATGTGAAGTTAGTTAAACATGAAAACATTTTGTGTGTGGAATGGGGGGGGGGGGGGGGTTCGAGCGCCACCCCCCCCTAACCAAAACCTGGCTACGGGCATGGTATCTATAAACAGGGGGTGAAAATGCTTAGAGTATTTTCGTCGAGTCTAAAGACTGGGAAGGAATAGGTTTATAATAGGATGAAGAAATCTTCATTCTAGATCATGATATAATTAGACTACACCTGAGCTTTCCTGTCAATCAAAACACTATGAACAAATTGATTAATATATTTTTATTAAATGTCATTTAATAATCTTTATAATTCCATAAGTATGAAATACTACTACATAATTAAATAATAAGCTTGTTTGAAAATTATAAAAAGCACCAATCGTTTTAAATAGTCCATTTACTAAATGCCCTTTTTCACTTTAAAATATTCGACCTCCCATCCGATTTCTCCAATATTTCCATTTTTGGCTTTTGGAAATTTCATGTCGGTTGGAGCTCGGCTCAAGTAGCCTAGTTCACTTGTGTGCTCGTTTGAGTTGCACACCCCAACACTGTTTCCCGGGGTATTAACAGCAAGTCGTTGATCTCTTAGTCCATCTGGCCCTGAAAGAGTTAATAAAAGTAAATTATACCTAGGATGGAAACCCGGGGATGCAAAAAGATCTATCCTATATTATAGGTAAAACTTTGCTGAAAATATTTTTAACTGTTTTGAGCCATACTAAGTCTTTTAGACATGCTTTTTGAGGGACAGTGGAATAGTTTTTATTCCGACAGAACCTAATGCGTATTGTAAGTGAGCAATAGAGTAGTTTCTAAATAGCTTTAAATCTCGCTAAATCTCGTTTTTCATGAGATTTTTAGAGATTTGCACTTTTTACCTCTAATGACTTATTTTTCTTTATTTTTGATAGCATATTTGAATTCGGTGACAAGTTTTCTCCAATAATAAGCTTGATTTACACAGTTATGTCATTTAAATCATTTCCCATAAGATTTAAAAAAACTTGGGCCAAATCTCCATTGGTGCAATGCTAAGATTCATTAAAACCTTGGCTTATTCGTATGACAATCAACATTTTCATGTTTAATCACAATATGTACATTAACAGTATCATCCGATAGAATGCCATTCGAGTTTCAGACAGATTCAACCAACACTGGACAAATCATGAAATTAAGTGACTATTGCACGTTTCTAGCATTGAACTGAATGGAGGTGTGGCCCAAGAAAATCAAAGACAAACAAGGGTGACATCTATTATGTCAGCGTTATTCAGCTATTTAGAAACTATACAATTAAGGGTGATAGATATGAACCTGAATAAAAGACTCGCCTATTGATAAATGATAAAGAAGGCGTTATTCATAACATTCAAATCATCCTCGTCTTCAAACATCATGAAAGTATCTCAACTTTCCTATTCTCTAAACTGAGGCATAAATAAGCCCATTAACAGTACAATACCTGTATTAATTTACACATTTTAACTTCTCAGTATCAGATCATTGCTCTAGATCATTGACAATGCCCTAACAATACCATTTATTATTGTTCGCGAGACTACTTTGTCGCAAGGTAAAAGTACAATTATTTGAAAGAACTAAAAAACGTCCATGAAGAGGGGAAACATTTTTCATTAATAAAGCTGCACATATGACTTTCATGATTTCGTACCTGTATAAAGCAGAGGTCCTGGCAGTTGGTTGCCTATAACAGCACGAGAGTTGTGTAGTATAACATTTCCTCTGGGGCCACCAGGCACTGAGGCTGCTGACTTATGGCTCGTGCTAGAAGATGCAGTACTTGCGCGTTTACTCATCTTAAAGTTATCTTATCTATAATGATGCACTAAATAGTGGTGTATTTCAGGGATCCCTCTTAGCTGTTCTTTTATTTTATCACCAATACTTTTCAACAGGACTGAAATGAAAATAGGTTATATTATTTCAAATGATATCGAGGTAACTAACGCTTGTTTTAGAATAATGAAGAGGCTCATTAGTACTCGTCAGTGTAGCAATGTATTAACATGATTGAGAGTTATCCTAGATTTGATTTCCCCGGCCTCGAATACTACTTTTAATATGCATATGTGACACAAAATTTGGTTATCAATTAGAATTTACGTCACTAACTTTGATAAAATTGTAATCGTTGCCAAAGTACTTACATTTAAAACAGTTCAAATGTATGTTTATCCTCTGATAGTCATACTGTTTGTCGGTGAATTCTACAACTGTACTGGCCTTATTTACACAATAATACATGTATATGTATAATGCACTCATATTGTATTGATTTGTTATCATAGGCGGTAGCCTAGCACCATTATGATCTTAAATCAGACCAACAACAAGATAGTTAAATAATCGTTATGGGATTTTAGATTAAATTCTAGATTGAACCTCTAGATATTTAGATTGAACCTGGCCGTTTATGGGGTCAAGTTTACCAGAACCAATTGGAAAAGTTTCATGAAAATAAACATATGTTTTGCATAACAATACTTTGAACTATGTAAGGGAACATATTGTGACATATTGTACCTTTTATCTAATTAATCAAATTCAATCCATAATATTTGTTTAGACAATTGATATTTTTGTAGACAGTACTTGCGAGGTAGTGAAAATGTTAAGTCTATTATCAAGTTTGAAAATGTGTCTCTATATATCACTTTTGAAACTGTAGGCCTAGTATATGGAGTTTGAATATTTAGGTTCATATCAAGTTTGAAACCATGTCTAGTATATGAAGTTTGAAAATGGCTACCTACATGGAGTTTGAAAATGTAGGCCCATCTGAAATTTGAGCCTGTATCAAGTTTGAAAATGTAGGCCTATATCAATTTTGATAGACTTAAATAACTACCCATGGGGTGTAGTGTAAGCTTTTCAAATAATGTTTAACGTATAAATAATAACAAGACACACAGTGATAAATATCGCACTTTGAAGAGCAAACTGGCCACCATGCAATTTACCCAGCATGGCCAAAACCTAATCAGACCTTGGCACTAGTCTGCTCTTGCATCTGTAAACATTTCAAGTTGACAAGGTTAGCGGTTTTCTTGGAATTTTGATGACAATAATTGATTTTAAGTCTCAAACTTTGAGAAACTTGGATAACATCATTTGTGACCTAGTTTAATGACTTTGACCTTTGACCTTGAAAATTTCACTTTTTCAGACCTCAGTAGGTGTTTTGTAATTAAGCTGACCTAAATTTAAATCCAAAATATCAATTTAGAAAATCAACTTTTTTGACCTTTTCAAGGTCACTGAAGGTGAACAAAAGGTCAAATCTGAAATCTAAGGTCAGATTTGAACTTCTGAGAACTTGTAGATGTTTTTAAAAAAAAAAATTGGTCAATTTGGAGCAAGTTGAAAAATTCAAAATGGCCGCCAAATTGAAAAATTCAAAATGGCCACCATGTAATTCAGCCAGCATACCCAAAACCTAATCAGATCTTGGCAATAGTCTGCTCTTGCATCTGTAAAAATTTCAAGTTGAACGGATTAGTGGTTTTCCTGGAATTTTGATGACAAGATTTGTTGAAAAATTAAAAAATGGCCGCCACATACTTTACCCAGCATGCCCTTAACCTAATCAGATGTTGGTACTAGTCTGCTCTTGCATCTGTAAAAATTTCAAGTTGAACAGGTAAGCAGTTATCCTGGAAATTTGATGACAAGATTTGGTTTATGTGCCGCCCGCCCGCACGCCCGCACACCCGCCCGCCCGCCCAACAGCACAAGACGACGACAATATAGCACTTTTTCAAAGTGCGATAAAAAGGTGAGGTAAGATAAAATGAGAAACTAAACAAGTCCTTACTAAGAATGTAATATGACCAAGTGTTTTGAATAAGTCGTGACTTCATGTCTTCACCCACTATCATTTACCATACGATCATACATGGCAGAAAGAAGTGGAAGCGGATGACCTTTAATAATAATAACAACATTCACCCCAGCAGCATAAGAATAGATTGAACAACATTATGTATTGGATATATTGGACATCAACATAACATCTGGGTTCATTTACACAATCTTTATTTAAAGAAATAAAATTCTGATTATGTTGTCTTATACATAAGAGGCACATGTCCTTTACTTCATTGCTATGTACATCTGATTCAAAATCTAAAATGACAACACTATACTCCTTTTTGTGAAATAGGAACACTAGCCTACTACATGTACATTTTAAATATGAATATTTTTAATACAGAATATTATCTGTCTCCAATATTCAGACACAATTCAACTTACATTTTGCTTTCATAACCTGCGACTTGTGCCTTAAAAACAATTCTCCCATTTCTTTTAAAGAGGGCAGATTCAATGAACAGAAGAACAATGTACAAAACGGATTTAAAGAGGTTCAGATAAAATGGATGACACACTGGTACATTGAGTACTTTACCACACATTACCTTATGCTGTGAAATGTGAATAATATACCCACAATGTTAGTGCATAAGATATTCTAAGTACAATGTATTTTAAGGAAAAAAATTATATAATTTATCTTAACTGATGTGCCCATACATTTGTACACATGGAATACATTAAAATCTTTATGGCTGCATAACTCATGAGAACTTGGCTTGTAAAATAGGTTTAAATGTACAATTGCATTTCATTTTATGTCACTGTGACCCTCTCACGATGCTGTACAGCCTAGATTTTTACAAGAGGTACAGAAAATCTTAAATCCGAATAATCTTAACCCAAGGTTATTTAAACCCAATATAATTTCAGGAACAAAATCTTAAACCAAGTAAATCCACAAATAAGTTTCTCACATTATGAGGGGCAAAAATTGCTTACATTTGTCCTATTTGCTTTATTAAAATTTGATAGGCCTATAACCAAGATAGCACTTATGGATGATGTCCATCTTGTGTGCCAATGAATAGTTGTTTTCAGCAAATAAAATGAATCAAAAATTACTGTACATCAATTTCAGAAACAATTTCTAACAAAATTATTTGTAATTCGAAGCTAGATCAATGAATACATGTCATCACGTTATCTCTATTTCCTTGAGATTTTTATGTCCCTTTGACAAAGTATTTTAACTAATTATAAATCTATTTGGAATGATAAAGCACAAATAAAGGAATAAAAATCTAAAAATAACAAAACCCCTCTAAATTCTATAAATCATAATAAACTGTTGAAAGTACAGTGAAGTTTTACAATAATTATAGTTATAAAGTCTATCATATAGTAACAGCCTAAGGAAATACACCAATCTAATTTTGATGTCTCTGCCTGAAAATACTCTATTTGAGAGTATGCCTTTGTTTTAGAGCACCCCTCTAATTGAAAGCATCTCTCCAATTAATGGGCAACCCTCTATTTGAGAGCACCCCTCTTACTAGGAGTATGCCTCCGAGTGCTTCTCAACTCGATTCACATGGGGGAGTTGTATTGCAAGCTATGATTTCTTAGACTGTGTCATATACTTTACTGTACTCTTCATGCTTCAGTTTGCTTCCCAACTAAAACGTTCACATGTGTTAAACCAAATGGCACTAACTTTCTTGCAATCAAATACATAATGAATAAACATACAAAGATTACTTGTATTAGAGTCAGTTTACATGGGCATTTTTCTTTTAAATCTACAAGTATTTTTAAAGTGCAAACTTAAGGTGTACTGCCATAGAGCAGGAAGAGTAATGGTATTTTCAATAAAAATATAAACATACAAATATAAAACTCGTAAAGTTGGCAATGACATACTATCAAAGCTGCTAGGCAACAGTTAGATGGTTTTTTTAACACAATTTCTGCAACAATGGTTGAAGAGAATTATTCTACTGAGCTAATTATTCATATACATGTATTTAGCAAAAGAAAATGATTCATCTGGTAACTCGATTGAAGGAGAAAAGGTCTAAATAACTGTTGCGTAGCAACTTAAGGCAATCCCAATCTATCTTCAGAGATTTATGATTTAATTCTCTGTTACAGGGATTTGCATGCAAAATGTTAAAGTGGAGTAGATATACGTAGAATTAAACAGATTATGCTCCCCATTTCCTACGAACGTCCATGTTAAAGAAACAGGCTCAGTCTGTCTAAATAGCCATTTCTCAACAATTTCAACAGATCAATTTGAAAACATGCTTCTGATGCTTTTTACGATATCAAATTGTTTCTTTTTGTTCCATCAGATGCAATGATTAATCTATAGTAAAGTCTGTTATCTCTATGGCGATAGTCATTAGGGTCATAATTCTCATCATATTTTCAATTATCTGTTGTCTCCATGGCGATAGTCATCAGGGTCATAATTCTCATCATAATTGAAAATATAATTTTTGAAGTTGTCTGTTCATCCCAATTCATGTTTTCATATTATAAACTCTAATCTCTTTTAAATCAAGAATGTCACTGTATTTGTAATTCTGCTGTTGGTGCTTATCTGAAAGTATATGAGTTATAGTCCTCAAATGTATACGATTAGCAAGTTACATATAATTACATAACAGTATTACAAACATTGGGATTTTGATGGTGGAATCCAGTATTTGAAAACCACCGATGGCCTAAATCAGCACATTTTGTAAGTTTTGTGCAAGTTCAGATATGGTTTGTTTTTGCAAGTTCCTTATATTCCAAGGTACTATTCAAACAGCGTTCACTATTCAAAAAGACTATACACGACTATTGCAAGGAGACTCAGTATTTATCAAAATAAGTTGATTCACTTAAAGATGGGCACTAAAATGGCTGGACTTCATTGCAAGAATTTCTGGTTCATTGTTTATCGCAAAGAATGACTCACCTGGATCTCGACCTAGATCTGCTCCTGGATCTGCTGCGATAATAGCTGTCTCTACGTGAATATCGTGCTGGGGATGGTCGTCTGTAACCTCTAGGTGATCGCGATCTGGACCTGAAGACCATCCATATAATACTTTACTATATTATGCTACATTTACTGTGCCGAGTGATGTTGTCAACTAATGATGAGTACAGAATGATGATGACCTTATATAATGCTAATGTGTGGTATCGAATGAAATGTCTTGGAATTTTTACCTTAAATGTAGCAGTTTAAAGGGGCAACAAGGCCTGTAGAGAGAAAATTCAAACATTTTTTACTTTTCTGAGCTATCAGGGCATCATTTGGCTTAACATCATCTTTGACATACCTTTTTTCTTAAAATGTACATTTTAAACTATCAATTTCAGCATTAAGAAGTGTAAATTCAGGTCAAGGCTTCTATAAAGGCAGTCCCACTTAAAGATTTTTAAGATCCACCACATTTCAAGAGGAATATCAACTGAAATAATGTTTATCCAGGGGGTTTCTTTGGAGATAATAAAAATATATGTTCAAAAATATATTTTGACACTGGTCCATGATCATTGAATGGCCCCTCTGCACTATTTGTTGCACCTTTAACTCACAAAAATTGATTATACAATGAATGATTTGATGATTAATGCAAAATTAATAAAGCAAATGTCTCGAATAAATAGTGAAAAAACAAAGAATCAAACTCCTGATTTTTTACAGATAGAGCTACGTAAATGTTTAATAACATGAGAGAACATCTCATACTGACATCATATTATATGACAAAAAACGAGTTAAAAAAGTTAAGGCTAGATATCTGGTTATGTCAGCAATATACCAAGCGCAACATATAACAAATAGATGGAGCTGAAAACAGGTAAATCAAAGTGCCGGATTTAATACGACACAAGAGGACGTAAGAATCTATGGCAAACATTGAAGAGCAGACTCGCATCCCTTTCAAGATTTATTTTCAAGATGCTTAGGGCAAGAAAAATGTGATAAAAATATACATGCTTTTCTAATGAAGACCAAATGATGATTTTAAACTTACCTCAACCTTGTATGAGTAGGTCACTATTTTTTAATTCATGAGAAAACAAGAGATGAGCATAAAGATGATGATTCTCAAATTGAAACATGGTTTATGAAAATTGAGGATGGTGAACTGGGACGCATACTCAAATACTCACCTAGTCATAAGTGATAGATAGCCATCATTACACACACATTTTAAAGCACATTAACCCGGCTGATGACTGACCACGACCAGTACACACACCATTATACCACGTGTAACGTCCCATTAGTCCCTATACCATATCTAGCTGGCTTCTTGTACCAACAGCTAGGTCCAGTCCAGGGGGCAGACTAGGCATGAACATTAACACCAAATACATATCACTTTCAGCACATCAGGGTGGTCTCTTGAAAGTCTCTAATTGTACTTTTTTCCTTTTTGTAAATCTCTTTACTTATTTCTCTTGATTTTTTATGTAGGATACATCTTAAAAAGTTTTAAACTGTATGCTCACTTTAAATAAATTTTGTCCATTTAAATTTTGTTAGCCATATTATTGAAATGGAAAATTTCACATGTGAAGTGTATTTAATTAATACTTCATTTCATTGCTCATCCATGTTAATCAGTAAGATTTTTTCTTTCTTAAAATACCACCATGACATGATTTTAAAGAGTGAATGTTTCTTCTATAGCATACAACATAGCTGAAATAACATCATCCATGTTGTCACTACAGCAGGTCATTACCCATGCTGCCCCTAGGATTGCTTCTCCATCTCAACCAGTTTTCACTTTTCCGGCACAAAACAAGATGGCCGACTATCTCTTTGACGTCTTCAACCAATCCACTCTGTTTATCCAGCATTTATCTTGGACCATTAACCATACAATACCATTAACAGCCTGGGATTTGAAAATTATAAAATTATAAACATGTGTTTCAGATTGTGTTTTCAGTTATTTCTAAAAAACAGTTCTATACATTCAACAAAAAATATAAAGAAGGTCAAATTTCTTTGTTTAATGCTGTATTGCTAAGAATCTGAAAAAATTCATCTCTGGTCTAAAGTGTTTTCTAACAAGAGTTTTATAAAACAGAGACGGCAATTTCATTTTTTCATAAATAAATGTTTCATAATTCACAAACAAGAATCTCATTTTCAAAAGTTCATAATTCAACACTTACATCATATTGTTATGAATAGGATCTGGGAAAAAACAGTGGGGTTAGTAAATAAAGAGCTTCAAACAAACTAAAACTACAAAAAAAAGAAATATACTTATGATACTAACTAAAACATCAACTTCACATACGGTACGGTTTAACATACCAGAGCACACAATGTGATGAGCACGAAGCAACAATTGAGTGATCTAAATGTGACAACTAAGTTTGAAAAATAACTAACTTTAGTTCAATGGCACGGTTAACATTAACATGCATGAAGTGTGGTGACCTCCCCATCGTAGAAGCAAGTGGGTGCTGCACCCCTTAACACTGGTACTCACCTAGTTACGCTGCCGATACAGCAGCGTAACAAGATGGAAGAACTTCCGGGCTTTGTTTTCGGTAAGATATTTTTATTTCTCGATTCTACACCACTTATAAGTCAAGTTGTGGACAACAATTTGGCTCAAAGTAAGGAAGATAGTCTAGTTTGAGAATATGCAGAAAACAAACATAGAACCGCCTGTATATTCTCAAACTAGACTATCTTCCTTAACTTTGATAGTGGTGTAGAATCAAGAAATAAAAATATCTTACCGAAAACGAAGCCCGGAAGTTCTTCCATCTTGTTACGCTGACGTATTGACAGCGTAACTAGGTGAGTACCAGTGCTTAAGATTTTGAAAATATCTGCAGGGACTTGAGAACATATTTAAACACATGAGAAAAATTGGCACATTTTGGACAGAAAAATTGTAATTTGCACCCACTTGAAAAAAAATCCCGGGGAGAATACAAATTGTGTCCATCACTAAAGAAAGTTGATTTACTAGTAATTCCATCACTCAAAAATGTTGATTTAATTCAATCAATTAAATGGTACTAGTGCTTTATATTAAGACCTGGTAAATAGATGCTGTAAATATTCCATCAATTATCACCATAACTGATTTCAACTTTGGATTCATAAATTCAATTATCCTACACTAAGTGTACTAAATGTATAACATCAAAAAATAAATTTGATATTTATTGGCAAAATGAATACTGTAGATTGGGTTAATTTGGCGCCCGCTTTAATTTGGCGAATTTGGCGAAATTGAAAAATTCGCCAATATAAATCTTCGCCAAAATTTAGAATGAATCCCCGGGAATTATCTAGGGTATATCGTCCAGTATATTTAGGTCACTTCCGGTTTATTTTTTCCAAAAATATGAAAAAATGTCTCTCATAAATTGGCTCAGAACTGGTCAGTCACTCATTAATACTCGGGGAAAAACTAGGAAAGGAAAAGCTTGGTATAGTAGCAACATCGATCGAGGTGCAAAATGTAAAGGATGATCTCACAAAGATGTACAAACGTAGTGAATATCGCCAATGGTCCTCATAAGAAAAAATGAACATAGCCAAAGATGCCCATTTACGTGGTAATTAGCAAACAGCGCGTAAGTTTGAAATTTTTTTTTTGCATATCCGCCAAATTAAATAGCCGCCAATATGCCAAAAATGGCAAAATCGCCAAATTAAGTAGCGCCAAATTAACCCAATCTACAGTAACCGGAGGATATCGTGATGATATACTCCGGGCTGTTTAATGTTCCCCTTTGCGCTGTCTCATAATAATTTTGATTATTACTGTTTTACAAGAGACTAAATGGTGCTTCTTTCCATACAACTTATTTTTCTATATTTATCACTCAATATTGCAATTAACAAAATGGATACAATTTTATACACAATTTTATACATAAGACAAACTTTACCAGAACCTGTCTATATTAATTAAATTAGCTTTTTTTATCAATTACAATTGTGACACCATTGGAATAAATTTGAATAATGCTAATCAAAAAGCAGTGAGTTCTGCATTTGTTTACTTTATATGAAGCTTGCAATCGATATATGAGAAGTTTGACTGACAAAGAAACAAACAAACCACAATTTACATGCAAACATAAAAATGGCACAACTGACAACATCCTATTAAGAAAAACAAACATGCAAATAATAAAATTGGTATAATTTGTTGTTTGAAGTTAATCTCTAGTTTGTAGGATTGAAACAACAGGTTAATAAGTTCACTGATAATTAAAAAATGTCAATGCTGAACTTGGAAAAACTTTGGGAAATATCAGAGGCAGTATTTACCTTTTTAAATTATATGCAGTAATAAGACAAGACATTTGAACAAAAAATGCTTCACACAAATTCATGTTATGTAAGATGCCAACCGTTTTTACAAAACATTATGCAGTTTCTCCCAAGTTTTTTATTCAAAGCAATGTCTTACATACTAATTAAGAACAACAATGTTCAAAGATTTCAAATTCATTGGCACTAAATCTTGATACATACAATTTTGATTTAACAGGGAGATGACAAGTCAAACAGATATCATGACCTGGCATAAAATGAATGTGCATATGACTTAATTTGACTAGTGGTCTTAATGTGTACCACCAATATTGGTATAGGGATGGCTGAATAGGGCTATTGACCACCAAATAATAATGTTAACTAAGAACTCTATTTGGAAGTTTGTTCAAATGTCTTATTGCTGCAAGTGTACAAGCGCATGTTAATAGTGTTGTTTGAATAAGCAGGAAGCTGTGTAATAACTTAAATGAAAGACAAAGAAATACATGAGTAGAAAAGGTGAAAAAAGCTTCATTCAATAATCAAACTAACCTGCTTTTGAATAAGCAGGAAGCTGTGTAATAACTTATATGAAAGACAAAGAAATACATGAGTAGAAAAGGTGAAAAAAGCTTCATTCAATAATCAAACTAACCTGCTTCTAAAGCTTCTACATTCTCTAGAAAAATGCCCTGGTCTTCCACATTGGTAACACTTTAGACTTGGGTCAAATCTGCCTCCTCCTCCTCCTCCCCCGCCTCCGTAACCTCCATAGCCTCCACCGCCAATACGTCTACTCCTACCTCCACGTACTCGAGGACGTGCAAAACTGACCTTTATACGACCCCCACAGACAATTCTAGAATAGCAGCACAAAATCATGAATATATAAAAACATTTTAACAATGGTACACTGAAACTAAAAATTGAAATGAAGTGCACTATAGTGAAAACAAGCAAAATGTTACAACTTCACTTGCCAGTTGTTACAGATGCCAAACACCAAATGTCGGATACCAAACACCAACCACTTAGCACCGCCCACAAAAACAATGGAGGAATATAACAATTTCGTGTCACCACCACCATTTATAGCATAATGATAAAATTAAGTGCATCAATACAAGATATTGAGATTTCATTTAAAGTGATAAAAATATTTCTTAAATTTTCAAAATTCACTCACTCTCCATCCATTTCTTTAATTGCTTCATCAGCATCATCTTTGTTTTTGTAAACTATGAATGCAAAACAAGGAGGGTTTCTTGCAAGCCAGATCTCTACGATATCACCATATTTATCAAATGCTCTCTCAAGTTCATGTTTAGAACAATCCATACCTAAAATAAATATTAACTTGGTTTAGTTAGGTACAATTTTTAAGGTGATTACAGGTAATTTTTAAATTTGGGCCCTACATACCCTATACCAGGTCAATAAATTGATCTCCATAAACTTAAATCATATTAATTGGTGGACATTCATTGTTATGATTTTGTTCCCAAGACTCAAGGTATACAAAGTTCTAATCAAAACCCAAGCAGATACCAATTTGTTTATTTCCCTTAGAATAATTAATGAGTTTTCTGTCTGAATTATTAATAATGATTTACCAGCCATGGCTAATTATTCATTATTGGCTTTGAGAATCAAATGTCAATTAATTGTCTAGAATAATGCATAAATTTGCTGTTATCATATACATATGAATATATACAATCGCAATAAATAAAAAATATCATGTTTATTGATTTTTCTACAATGGATATTGGCACAGCATATAGCACTGAGACACGTATCATTATCTTTATTGATTGAGAGCATTTAATCATGTACAAGATATACCTCAATATATAGCCACGATACAAGATGAATTATTCTGCAGTTTAACCCAAAATTGTTCCCAGAAGTTATGGCTTCATCCATCATTCTCAACAAAGTTGATAGACCAATACATTCAGCATGGCTTCAGGTCGGCAATGCATTCACCATGGTATCATGGAGCCAATCAGTTAAAATAAATGCAGAAGTAGCCTATCTATTATCAATCCATATGGCTTGAGCCAGATTTCAGTTAACCATTTTCTACTTATTATCAATAAAAGATGAGTACTCTATTGTCCAAATGGCCCAGGCCAATTGGTTTACAAAGCAGCAAGAAAATTTTCTACCATCATGAAGAAAAAACTGGACAGATGACTGGCAAATTTTGTTACCTAAATCTGCTACATGTACTCTATGACCATCTTCACTTGGGCTACGACTACGGCTTCGACTACGAGAGTAAGACCTCTTCCTTCCTCGATCCCGATCTCTACTGCGTGATCTTGAACGGCTTCGACTTCTTCCCATTTTATATTTCTAGAATTCTGTAATAGTTTAATTTAGTAGGCAATTACGTTCTCTTTTATTTTAGACTAAATCACTCTTGATGATTGTATTTTCTGCAGAATTTAATTATTCAAAGTCCTACTGCCCTTTACTTCCTGATAGGTCCTGATTTGTATACATCAGGACAGGAGCTGGAGTAAACGAAAATGTGCAACATTTCACAAGCATACAACTGTATTACCTAGATAATGGCAAATTGTAAGTATATTCCAAATGGTGCACTGTGTATCAAGTTACCATTATCGCAAAGACGAAGATAAAAATATCATAAAAACAGTAAGTTATATCAATGATCCATACCTGCAATGTTGTCGTACGAATGGATTGGCGTGGCGTGGCGTGACCTTGAAGTTGACCCTATTCGGCCACCTCCGTAATCATAGTTTTGAATATTCATCTACATTATATTAATTGAAATTTACAATTTTATGCAATATATTCAAAGATAATTCCATTTCATATATAGTATTTTCATAAACAGAAACGGTGAATTGGTATAATGAATTAAAACCTTGGTCGGTGATTTCCGTACTGAGGCATTCTGGGAAGAAGAAGGCCGCCAGACTCCACGGAAAGTCGAATGTAAGTTGCACAGCGTATTCCTCACTCAATCATGCATAAACTGTTTCACGTATTTTCGAATTATTGAAGATAGTTAAAGTAACTATATACTGTGAGTTATTAATAGCAAACGTTCGTCCCAGTAAACTGAAAACACCAATTTTGTTGAAAATATTTGTGTTGGAAGAAATCAAGATGGCCACCGCTCCACGCTAAAATATTGGTTGCGTGTTCATTTCGATTTGCATAGCAATAAACAGGCTAACATGGGCTAAATTAAATGTAACATTATGATTTATGTTTATTTAGACGTGAGTTGTATATTTTTGTATAATCTTATGTCTTTCAGCTTGCATGCGTCCTAGATGTGCAGTTCTTTGTTCTTCATTTTATTTTTAGGTCAACTTTAGGCCTACAAATGCAGATTTTATATATATCTTTATTGCACTGTTTGTTCATGCAGACTCAATTGTATCAATTTTTGAATCACTTCAGTCTGCTGACCATCCTCATCAGGTATATCAACCCAAAACAATCCCACAATCAACCCCTGAATCATCCAAAATTATTATGCCGTCCCACCGGGACCTCGAATGTAAGGTCTATGTGGGTAACCTAGACAAATACGCAACCAAGGAAGATGTTGAGATGGTATTTAGACGCTATGGAGACATCGCAAATGTCTGGGTCGCTCGAAGTCCACCTGGATTTGCCTTTGTGGAATATCATGATGAACGTGATGCTAAAGATGCTGTACGAGGATTAGATGGAGAGTGAGTATATTTCTAATCTTTTAGATTTGGGTTTAATTGTAGCATGTCGAGGTATTCTTCGCGGGATCGTCCATGTCCTGGTAAGGTGTATGTGGGAGATATCAGAGATTGTGTTGAGAAAGACTTAGAGAGGGCATTTGTTTACTATGGGCCATTGAAGAGCGTTTGGGTCGCCCGTAATCCCCCAGGTTTTGCCTTTGTGGAGTTTGAGGATGAAATGGATGCAGAAGATGCTGTTAGAGGGTTAGATGGAACGTAAGTATTCTCTAAGAGTATACTGTTCCCAACATGGAAGCTGTTAGCTGTGAATGCTGAATTGATATCCAGTTCGTTGATATATGTACATGTATTTTTAAAGGTTTTGTTTTTATTGAAATTACTTGAAATTGGTGAAACACATTTTGGGTCAATACATTTTTTAAAAGATGAAACCAGGTCACATATCTTATGCACTTTAAATTGTTTTGTATTTCAGGTAGTAGTTTTATAAATGTAAGATTGAAATGTAGCAATACGATCAAAATGTAATAAACAATGAATTAATGTAATATTCAAGTACTGTTTCATTAATTTATTAAGTGTTGATTATAACTGGTTGGTGGGGTCTTAATTTTAGAATGCTTAAAGGAGCCCGCATTCGTGTAGAAATCTCAAATGGTCGCATCCGTCCCAAGCCATGGTTGCGAGGTGGCGATGGTGATCGCAGGGGTGGTAGACGTGGTGGACGTCGACCATTTAATTCTGATGACACTTGTTACGTATGTGGAAAACATGGTCACTACGCATATGATTGTACTCGTTCTGGTGGGAGTAGAAGTCATCAAAGCGGGGGTCGCAGATCTTCGCATTATTCAAGGTACTTTATTCATCATTATTGGTAATTGTCTGTTACAGGTATATATGTGGGTCAAGAGTAAGGGTTGAGATGTCAAACGGCAAGATCAGGCCAAAGCCTTGGCAGAGGGATCGTGGGCGAAGCGGAGGTGGTAGACCCTATAGTTCGTCTGACCTGTGTTATCGCTGTAATAAGCCAGGACATTATGCTTATGACTGCAGAGGTGGCTTTAGGGGAAGCCGCAGGTAGGATCATATACTCATTGGTATTGGATGGATCAGATTTTTGATTCTCAATCTCTTACTCAACTCTTAATCCCAATTTGATTATTCTGTTACATCCTGTATTGATACACACAAATCCTCGCATAGTTCATATTAGTATTGCAAGATAACATTTTTTTTGCAAGATGTGAGGCTTGAGGAAGATGTCATCAGTAAAGGAAGAGTTGAATGCTGTTTGCTGTGTTCATTGTTATGTTTTTATTTGTAACACTTATCATGCCTGACCCTTGGAATTTCTTGTTGACTCACACACACATGGCAACTTTTCATGTCCAAGTTAACTGAATTATAGAAAATGAATGGAGGGGTGATTACTGCAAGAAAATTTAAAAATATGAGATCTGTTTTCTATGAAAAAGTTTACCTATAATAAATCGTTAAATGAAGAGGCTTATTGTTTGGTAAAATCTGCCTGGTCTTCGATGCTTTTTCTAAGATATACGAAAACTGGTTAGTTTTTGTGCATTCTGGGTAAATGTTAAGATGGCGATGTCTTGTTTAATAAAGCTCATATCATAGAAGCATATCAATTCATTTAATTCATAGAAGGCCAAACAGATTTTACTATACTTTCTTATGAAAAAATATATCTTATAGTTTTATATTTTCTAGCAGAAATCGCGTCACTCCCCTCTACTCCCTTTGTTTGATTTACAGCTGAGATCTTATAAATCAGAAAACCAAAAAATCAGTTTTTCCCAGGTCAGACATATTAGGTTTAAATCCAGTTGATACTTCAAAAATATGAAACACTGCAAGTTCATTTTTCTGAAACTAGTTTCATCTTTGCATTCATTATAACAGCACTAGAATGCAAATGTCATTGACAGATAAATTGTTGAAGTATTGCTCAATGTTCACTGTTTTCTCAAAAAAAAACTAACATATACCAGAATATGCACATTCTCTGTCAAGAAGTCCTCATAGGTAGGTTTTTACTTCCAATGGCCTAAGCTTTCTTGTTACTAATATAAATAAGTCTGTTAATTAAACTTTTGTAATTTACCATATTCTACAGGGTTTCCATAATTGTTCATTCCCCTTCTCTTTATACACATTTTGATTTGATTTGTGCAATATTGCAGAGCTGCAAGCATCACTAGATCCCCAGCTCCTCGCTAAATCTCACCATGTCTTCAACGCTGACCAATCATCAATCACTTAAGAAGTGACTGCAAAAATTAGCCAGCGTTGATAAGATGCCCACCAAATGTTCGTCACAACAGTGGCTCCCCATATTGGCAGCAATCTCGACTGCAACCTAATTTAGATCTGTCCTCTACTGCAAGGCAACTCATTGAGACCCAGTCTACAACAACTCATTGAAACCCTGTTCTCAACAACAGCAACTCATTGAAACCCAGTCTCAACTGCAACTCATTGAAACCTGTTCTCAACAACTAGTACTACAACTCATTTTAAGACTAGGTCTCAAGTTCTGCAACAACTCATTGACTGCAACGTTCATTTAGACTTCAACTTAATTTAAACACCTCTTCAACATCTACACTTCTACACTGCTAATTTTACGTAAGTTATTTGCAAAGCAAATGTGGGACTTGTGAATAGGTTATGGTGACCTATATTCTGATTTTCATTGTATCTACGGGTATTTTTAAGTATGTATATTAATGGGTCAAGTGTTTTTTATTATTATTATTTTATATTGTAAGTATTGGTGTAGGGAGTTGTGGAATCTGGTGGTATTAAAAGTTATATGTAGCTGGTTTTTTTTGTTAAGTATACTGTACATAGAATAACGGTGAAGGACAACCCCCGTTCAGTGGATGTGTCATTTTTTGATGTTGAGATTTCATGTTGAATATTAGTGCAGTTGCAATATGCCATTTTGTAAATTTCTTACCTTTGAGAAGGTGATAAACCAGGTATCATTTGAAACTGAATGAATTATAACCTTTCTTCAAAAAATAAATTAAACAAGCTCTAACTGATTTTTTGTTGATAACATGGTTTTTGGGCGAAATGAATTGGCTTTATTTCTGGTTCATCTCTTGTTGGATATGTGTTGCAAAAGATGTGTCCACATTGTCATCTTAAATGAAGGCAAGGAATATCCATGGTAAACTCAATGTGTTTGCATGAAACTCCAGTTCTCATACTTTACAGTCAGATATTTCATGAATGAGTGTATGTGATGAATGACATGGAAAAATGATAACCACTAAAGAGACCATATATGAAATGCAGTATTCCTCATCAGGCTTAATGTGTTTGCAGGTCGAGGTCACGCTCTCCCAGAAGAAGGAGTTACAGTCGCAGCCGTAGCCGAAGTAGGGACAGGTCTGATAGATATAGCAGAGATAGATCCAGAGACAAGTCACGCTCTCGCAGGTGAGACCTTGAATCATCATGTTATTGCATTTTTAATTAGTCCATTTGGAGAGTCTGGTATTTGTGACGGAGTCCTTTTCATAAAAAGAAAAAATTGGTCAGTCAAAGAGGTTCAATATTGTATATTTGTATAATCATTCAAGGCTGGATGATATTGGTTTGATTTCATGAAAAGGGAAAGAAATACCTCTTGAAGGAATCTTCATTTCAAAACCCATTGTGCCATGTCCAAAATAGTTTAACCATTGTGATCCATTTGAGGAACCTCTTTATCTTGTATCTGAACTTGAAAAATGTCAATAAATAATGGGAAATGCTAATGAATGATGTTTCAGAAGCAGGTAAAATGTTCTTATTTCATGAGAAAATGAATTAAAAATCTGCATAATATCTGTATTTTCAGCCGTTCCAGATCACATTCACACTACAAGCGCAGGTCCCATTCTGGCAGTGACAAGGACTAGATCTCCCCTCATGGATAAAGGCTTAGTTTTAGAAACTTTCTGGGACAATATTCACTATTTCAATCCTTTGAAATATATCCTGTCTGATCAAGTAAAATACATTTAGATATCTGGAAATCTGATCTGGACTCATTCCACCAGGTCCAGTGTGAATATGATTTTACTTGAAACAATAGCGAAGAATGTGGAAGAAAGTGACGTTTAATAAGTGTACATAACATATATTTTCATGAGCAGAAAGCAATTACCTGGTATTAGCACGGGACGGATTAATGCATATGTATATCTTAAATATGAGTTATCTGTGTTACAAGTAGTATACACATCATATGGTCATGTCATCACTTATTTCATATGTTCTGGAAATAGATGTTTACTTATTGGGAAATTTTTGTAGATAATCAGATTTCACATGATTGCTAGAGATCTATAATTCCATTGTATTTTAAACTCGCTGTGCTTTATTGTATTGCAAATTTGTACAAAGTTTTAGTTCAATAATCTTATCTAAAGCACTGTCATGCCCCAGAATAATGTAACAGATAATATGTAGACAATAGAAAGGTGGAGTCAAAGATCAATTTTTGAAAACCAATAACTTGCTTGATAAATCATTGTTTGGTGAGATATGATTAATTGGGGCATTTGACTTGTTACATTTGATTCCTTTGATAAGTTTTGCAAATATTGATGTATTGACTCCAGCCTCATACGCTCATGAAGTTGGATGAGTTCTCATAATCATATCAACAATATTCACTCTCACATACAGAATTTATTGTAGAGTTTTGTTATTCATTGTGCAAAATAAATGTGGTTTTATAAAAAAAAAAAGTTCAATGTTTGTGTATCTTTATGATTGTTGAGGGCCAGTCTAAAGCTCCTTGCCAACATTACAATGCTCTTGAAAATCTAGATGGTTAATGCATGGAGAAAAGTAAGGAACTTTAAGGTCAAAGACGGGAAAAGATAACAGCCCATAATTCACCTTGTTATCAGTTACTAAGTTAGCCTATATTACAATTGCAATTACTAGAATAGTATGAATTACAGTAGAACATTCCTCCTATCAAACTGACAATGCCTCTTAGACTTCTGTCAATCATTTAACATGGTTTATCGTACTATGAATGTTGACCATCAATTCCTCTTTTTAAATGTCTTCATCCTTGTTAATCACCACCTTTCGTCTTCGAACATGTTCACGGGTAACTAGAGTATCCGCGTATATTGAGTATGACCGGTTCTAAGCTTACGAGTGTGACCGTATTTCTGTTCCTATAAACAGACGAGGTGAGTACTTGGTTTTTATGAACACTTTCGAACGTTTTCTTTTTATCCTACTTGGTCAATGATTGATACTTGGTATACTTATAATGCCAGGCATATCACAAGGGGCCTTAATCAAGAGAAAACGTATCAATATTAGATTGAAGCCGTAAAATCCTAGTTTCCAGCATCTTTGATCAGTTTTTGTGTAACACAACGCAACTCCGAAGAGGATGACACATCTAATGTATAATATATAGCTAGATCTACGAATTAGTCAGGAATATTTTAAATAATTTAGCCTGCTCTGTCCAAATATGATACATCTTTGAATTTTTGAGAATACGAATGTCACTGGTGCCCCATTATTGGAGAATACGGTTGTGAAATGTCTTGGATCGGCATTTAACCGGTGTTTGGATACGACTTTTAGCGGTGACAGATGCAAAAGGTAATTCGAAATACCAGAATGTTGAGGCTCTTCAGACGCTTGCAGTAGGTCTCCAATATAAAGTGGGAAGAACTAAATAAGAGTAGATGACTTATAGTGTCAAGAGCCTATTTTTCCAAAAGAATTCAGTTAAACGTAGACCGAAAACAATAGCCTTGTTTGATTAAAATTATGTTGTCCCATTTCAGACCTTTTGCAGATTTGTGGTTAAATCAGTTGACCCGATTTCAGAATGTTGGCGAAAGAAATGGCAAAATATGCTTTTAGAACATTTTTTATCGAATTTCAGTAATATAATAAGACAGGTTTTATACCAATACATTACATTGTATGGAAAGAAAAGTTTATCATGTATTTGAAAATATAAACATATTACTCTGTAACCAAATTGCTGAAACCGTACACAAAAACTTAAAATACAACATTTTTTAGATGGCAGCATCAGTAACACCTCTTATTGAGGAGCTTGACCTCAGTGTCATCAGTGTTGGCGCAGAAGAGGAAATGCATATTATGTATCTGGATGAAAACAGAAATGAACTGGATAAAGTTTGTCAGTCTACCCCTAAAGGTGTTCAACAGCTGATTGGTACTAGCGATCCCGATGCCACAAAACGCAAGATACTGTTGTGCGCGTTGTGTGAATATAACACCACACACAAAAATAGTCTTACAAGGCATATGTCCAGAAAGCACACCTCTGTTTATGATGTACATAATATATGATAATAATAATATATGATATACACTCGTATTCTACACCGGTAACATTCCGATCACATCAATCAGTGGGCCGTGTTACACTCGTTTCCATGACATTTCACAAGCGTATCCTCTGGGAAAAGATAAATCCTTCTCTTGCTCACTCTACGGGGGATCATATAAACTGAGATTTGGAGATCTTGTTCAGGTTAGCCATAAAAAGGTTTGGGATTTGTTTTTTTCTACTGTGATATTAATGATTTGGCTCTAAGGCGAGAAATCTGTACTTTCTTATTGATATTCCATTATGAACAGTTACATTGCTAAAATAGCTCATGTTTAACATTTTTTTGTTACATTACTATTAAATACAGCATAAACTATATTCAACAAACACAATTTCAAAAAGGATAATATAGAAGTTAACCTTTATTTTCCATTTTTAAGCAGCTGTGCCTCTCATGACTTTCCAAAACAGGTCATATTCGTAGCCTAAGAACCCACTGGCATGTAGCGGCCCTGATATCGATAAATTCTACACGCAACATAACCCGATTTTAGATGCTTGGTTAAAACTTTACACGAAAAAGCCTCGATATCCGGGCATTTACTCTTACACTGAACTGAAAATAGCATCGTCTAAACGTGTATGTCTTGGCTTCCGGGTAAGTTTATCAACATTTATACTCAATTGAAAGAGCAGTCGTGCTTATATCGTGTACCAGTTTGATTGTTTTATATGTGTGTGTATTTATAATATGATAGCCTAGTAATACCGTGTCGTTAGAACAAGTGCTAGATATCGAACTGATGACCTGAAATTAGATTATTGGACTGATCGCGCATCTGATATTAGATGATTAATTTGCATTGAATCTGATATTAACTTGCAACCCAATACCACAGTAAATACCATGACTTTACATTAGAATGATAACACGGCCTCATATTCTAATTCATTATACGTCCATTGCAGGCCAAAAATGTTTCAATGTGGATATTGTAATGCACACGAGAATACATTCGATTCGTATAAATTGATCATACATCAATTGAACATGGAGATTTTCCTGTACACTTTTCCCAAACATGTGGAATAGATGCGAGTAGAAATTATCTTGATTTATCCTATGCCAAGTAGGGTTTTGAGGAGATAAGTTGGTAAGATATATCCCGTATCCTGATTTTGAGGTTTCCATATCAAGAACCTCCATATCTCCCGCTTCGGTGCATATCTTCCCGCTTCGGGGCGTATCTCCCCGCTTCCAAAAAAGTGGAAATGCAATAAAATGACTTTGCATATGAATGATTTGTTTATTTTTTACACCTTGTACTACTGAAAACTCTACTTGGTATAGGATAAAGCAGTTATGTACGGTCGGTTTGGATATTGGGTTCATCCCTCGTGAGATATGCACATCTACTTTCTGTCCCTACGGTCCCTCAGGTAGATATCCATATCTCCCTCTGGAAAAACACCATCTCCAAAACATCCCAGTACATAACCCTTATTTATCCCATGGTTACAAGGATATAGATCGAATATCACGTGAAGATATAATTGATACGTGGATGAAGATATCATATTTTAGCAAACAATTCCCAAATCATCGAATATCACTTTTGAAACCATCGAATATCACTTTTTGAAAGGTGATATTCGATGGTTTCAAAAGTGATATTCGATGGTTTCAAAAGTGATATTCGATGGTTTTGATTTTTTCAATTTTTTTTATTAATTCAGCAAAACGATTGTTTATGAATACCTAGCAAGAGCTCAAAAAGTTCAATCATCTATTTATCTCAAAAAGACCTCAAAAACTGAGCTTGAATTAGAAATATGTCTTCTAAAATCTTCCTCGCCTGGAACTGATGGGATTCTACCATCACTTATTAAGTCTGTAAGACAGTTTTTAATTGATCCACTCTTGTATATATTTAACTTATCTTTTAAATCTGGTATTTTCCCAGACGCCCTCAAATTGGCCAAAGTAACACCTGTATTTAAAAAAGGAGTCCCTACAAATCCTTCGAACTATAGATCAATTTCAGTTTTATCGGTATTTTCTAAATTGTTAGAAAAGCTCATGCACGCCAAATCACTGGTTTTTAGAACGTTTTGAAATTATTTTTACTTATCAATTTGGATTTCAGAAATTCAACTCTACCTACATGGCCATTTTATATTTCATTGAACAAATTCGAAAATCAAGTGATTTGGGGAAAACGAGCATTGGCATAACATTAGATTTTTCCAAGGCCTTTGACACAATTAATCATGACATTTTGATACAGAAACTTGAATATTATGGCATCAGAGGAATAGCTAAGTCCTGGTTTGAAAGTTATTTAAAAGACCGCAAACAATATGTCACCATTAACAATTATGAATCTAAACAATCATCTCTAAATTGTGGTGTTCCGCGGGGCTCGGTACTTGGACCACTATTATTTATTCTTTACATAAATGATCTGCCTTTTGTTGCCCCTAATCTAAAATTTATTATGTTTACTGATGACACCAATCTTCCTGATAGTGATTATGATTTAAATGAACTTATGACTAGAACTAATGCAAACTTGAATTCAATAGATGACTGGATAAAAGCAAACAAACTTTCACTTAATATTGGCAAAACCAATGCTATTCTATTTGGACCCAAAAAAATCAAACAAATCTGAATCTCAAAATACGCAATGAGAACATAAATTTCCGGGATAAAATTGACTTTCTTGGAATTATTATTGATAAAAACTTGAAATTTAAAGAGCACATAAAATCTATTGAAACAAAGATTTCTCGCGTCATTGGTTCTCTTTATCACATTAAAAATCTACTTCAAATAGACAGTTTCAAAACAAGTTACTACTCATTGATACACTCTCAATTAAATTATTGCAACATAATCTGGGGTAACACATTTAAATCATTTTATGATCGTCTACATAAACTGCAGAAACAATTCTTAAGGCTAGCTTTAAATAAGGATAGACTTTCTCACTCCGCTCCCTTATTTAAAGATATTAAAATATTAAATATTTTTGATGTCAACAGATATTGTACTGGTCAGTTCATGTACAAAATCTTTAATAAGCACCCCAGTCTTCCAAAAAATCTATTTCAAGACTTGTTTGATATCAACATTAATATTCATCATCATTACACAAGGCAATTGCATTATTTTTATATCCCTAAATGCTCTAAACTTTCCCTTCGCTATCTAGGTCCTAATCTTTGGAATGCTCTACCACATGATATTAAAAAATGCTCGACTCTAAATATTTTCAAATCTTCATATAAAAAACTACTCATCTATCGATAATGTATAATACCAATATCATACTACTAGTATACTGTTGATTTTATACTGATACCTGATTTTTGTAACATTTTTACATTGTACATCCTTAGATTAATTGTTAATACCATTTTTATATACCTAATGTAACATAATATAAGTGTTTTCTTTTATATGTAGTCTAGATGTCATTTTAATGATTTCTGTTAAACCGCAACATATACCCACTAGGGTGTCTAGCGGCTTGTTTTTATAGTGTATATTATATAAGAATTATGAAATAAATTGAATTGAATTGAATAGAATTATATATTAATTATATATTTTTATTTTTTGGGATCTTGTTTTTACGGCGTTCGCATTAAATACAAACCACTCTGTTACGTC